CAAACTTGAGGTTCCATTACATTTGAACCCATGACAATTTCACCTGTATGCTATTGCACCTATGGAATTTTTTTTGTTTTACGGATAGTTAAACCCATACTAACCCTAACCCATGGGTTTTAGCACCCGCATATATAGATTGAACCCGTGGATATACGCATGGGTTCAAATGTACATGGGTTCAAATGTACGGTCACCCAAACTTGATGATCAACATCTGAGATTGAAGCATGGGAAATACAGAAACATAAAAATAATATAGAATGGTTATCAATACAGAAAGGATCGATTACATCCAAATGTATGTTTCGACCCAGCGTTTTCAAATTGTAAGCATTCATTCACATAACAAATTTAAATAACATGACCAGAAAACGTTGTGAAGTACCTGGGGCGAACATGCTAATTGTTTTTTTCTCCCCAAACAGCAAGCAGAAGCCAATCTAGGAATCATAGGAATTAGAAGCTGCTGGGTTGAGAAAAACTGGAATTTTTACGGTTCTGCATAGCTCACCCATTATATTTAATCTGTCGATGGAAGGGATGAAAAATCTATGTATTAGAGCAGTGCCTGGACCCTAAATAACGTTGTTATCACTAACTATTGACTTGGACGTCTGCCTGCGCTTCTGATTTAGTTGGGAATAAAACATAGTCGGATATTTATTATTAGTCCCTTGACAATTTTTTGCCGTGTGTTAGGAAAAGTGGCTGATTACACTAGGCACAATATTAAATATATATCTTTTGCTCGTAAAACAGAGTTGCAAAAGCAGGGACGAAAATTATTTTAGATATTCACTTCATGTCGAGCCACCAGTAATTCCAGATGGTAGTCTATCCACTGAAAGGTGTTATTAACCTTTTTATAACTATAAGAGGAGCCTGAGAGCCCAATACCTTATTTAAGCAAACTTGAACCAGTTTCTAAAAATCACATTGTATAACCTTGTTTTAATACGACCAAGTGGGTATATACATATTTATAACCGATATTGATATTAGGGATATAATTACCATACAATTAACAGTAAAATAAGTACACTTTGTGTGAAACGATATAAATTGTAACGAATAGCGGTTACATATATTAAATAGCGAATTATGTTAAAATTTAGGACTATATACAATTTTAAACAATGGAGAGCTTTGAGAAACACAAAACGTGAATTTTACATTTTAACACATCCGATACTTCATGAATAAATGAATATCGTTGATGACCACTACGATATATCGTGAAGTTTTCAAATCTACATTACAGTTAATTCTCGCTTGCTAATTAAAAAACCTAGTTATGCAAAAAGTATAATAATTTTTAAATATTTAGGAATTTTGTTATTCAAAAGTGAATTAACTTATTCGTGATGGAATTTTATCCAAACAGATACTTGTGTATTGAAACTTGGTTAAAATTATATATTTAGACGCAATGGTATGGGTAAGAACTGCCATTTCTGCAAGAAGATAAATGAGAATATACAGCGAACCATTTCGTTTTGGTGTTAATTCATCGTTCTTGGTAAACATTTTAGTACAACAGTGTTACGTGAATCACCTGTAGAAGCTCGAAGATCGCAATTATAAAGAAAAGCCTGATACAAGTAAATATGAAGCTATTAGAAGGCTATAAAGTATTTCGCTGGAGTATTTGCTATGAAACACGGGTTTCTAATATCAACGCTACTATTGGTCAAATGTAAAAGTAGAAATATAATATCAGTAATGTAGATGTTTAAATAATATTTTAACGATATGTTCGTTCTCTAACAACGTGACAAACAGTTCAAATATTTAAAGTAGAAATAACATTGAAATTATGCTTTTAAAATAAAATATTTTAATAATGTATTTGTGTGAAATGAGATAATTTGGTATTGACCATGGAGCATTATAAATATGATACACGTTAGGAAGTTACTTCACTTGGACAGCTTGCTGTGGTATGGAGCTTTTAGCAACTTTGACTACTTTTGTCAATTTTTTTGCAGTTTGTGTCTGAGCTATATTTTGTTCTCCTTGTTGATTAGAGTCGTCGTCTAGCATATCCCACATCTGAGACACGACATCTTGAACGTCGTGACTTACAAGTTCTTCCACGAGAGATTCTTGGGTCAACTTGATGCCATCCGCTGGTTGCTGTACTTCTTTAAAAGTCTGACCTACTTCTTGTGATTGGGCGATTCGTTCCAGTCTATCCATTTCAGCATCATCCATTTTCCTTTGGAAATCCTCATCAAATGTAACTACCTTAGTTGATAGAACTTTACCTTGGACTATTTTCGAACCGGGTATAACTTTTTGATCAACCAGAGGAATAACAACTTTTGGAATAATCTTGGACTCTTGCTGTGTAGCTGTTTCAACGACTTTTGTGGGATTGACTTTCTTGGTAATTTTCTTTACTACTTTACGCTTTACGCTCTGTTTTTGAACCGGCATCGCTTTCAACTGTGTCGTTTTTTCGTTCGGCTCCTTACTGCCCTTTTCTTTTATTGTTACCAGAGCATCTTGTTTTTGTACCGTTTTTACAATTTTCTTTCTCTTTTCACCTTGGCTAACGTTTTGTATTTTCATTGGTGCTTTTTGTATAATTTTAACGACCTCAGTATTTTTTGCAATCAATGGTTCCACGTCGTGTAAAATTTGTTTGGTTTCAGTTACTGCTTTACCATTTGAGCTGATTTGTTTTTCAACTGTTACTTGGTCTTGAAGCTTTATGAGATCCACAACTTGTTGCGCTTGAACTCCGATTTGTGTGTTCTGATTTTCTTGTATCACAATGTCTCTTTGCTCTTCTGGAGGAAATTGTCCAGCCTTTTTCGCTTTCTTTATTACTTTTCTATGTGCGGCAGAAGCTACAAGATTTTGTTGCCTTTGAATTGGCCCGGAATCCCTATCAACAATCACTTCTTCCAGTATTTCTGTTCTTTCAATGCCATCACCCGAAATATTAATGGTATCAACAACGACATCCACAATATCTCCTCCAGTGCCGACGACTCTTTCAATACTTGCCATTTCAACAACGCTATTAATGCCATCGGTTACACCTACAGTGTCCGTTGCGAATTCAACCAAGTTTCCCCCACTTTCGATCACACCCCCAATTCCAACTACGTCAACTACTCCGCTTGTAATTTCAACAGGTCCGGTCACTGCAGCATGTAAAATATTTGACCCCCCTTCTGTAATTCTTCCAACGACGTTCCCTCCCCTTTCGATCACACCCCCAACTCCAACTACGTCGACTACGCCGCTGGTAATTTCAACAGGTCCGGTCACAGCAGCATGTACAATATTTGACCCACCTTCAGCAATTCCTCCAATGTTTGCAATTTCGAGAATTCTTGTAGGCAGCCTTGTAGTACTACTTACAACTTCAACAATATTAGTTCCACTACTACTGTTGTCAACCTCTACGATGGCTTCATTATCAAAAGCTGATATGATCACGTCATGCGGAGTAACACTAGGAATCAATCCGACAACTGTTTCCTTGGCGCCTTTTACAATCTTTGCAGCATGTTTACCTACAGATATATTCTTGGCAGACGAGAAAACGTTTCCAATAATACCAACTGCCGACCCTGCAATGCCAGTTTTCTTCTTTGAGCTGGAGTTGAAATTAACATCAATTTCCTGAACATCGATCTGAGCTGCATTAGTGGCTTCCTTCGACGTTATCATAATATCTTGTACTGCTTTCCGTATTTCACCCACTTGCATAGTCTGCTCTTGAGTTTCCGAAACTAATTCCGTGGTTGACTGAAAGGCATTATTATCCTGAACCTGGATATCAATAGAAGAATCTTCTGATTGGCATTCAGAATTCGAAGTAAATTGCTCATAAACCAAAATTTCTTCTTGTTCTGCATCGTCTTCGCTGTCACAAATAATCTGCTTATCAATCTGAATTGTTGCTTCTTTAAAAGCCAAAGGGTTTTGTTCTGATATTTGTTTTTCATCCACAGCGTGAGAGAGAATCTCATCTTGAATCAAAACTTCATATTGAGAATCACAACTCTGATTATCTTCTGATGAGAATGACCCCGATTGAGAATCAGAGATCGAAACTACATCCTGCCTGATTAGAATCTCTTCAGCACATTCATATCCGTCTTGTGTAATCGGGTTTTCATCAATCTGAACAGCGACACTTTCTATAGTTATTGCTGGCTTTTGTGTTGAAGGCCTTTGAATCAAAATTTCTTTTTCTGCCAATATTTGGACTTTGGGTTCGCATGGAATGAAATTCTGAATCACAATTTCTTTTTTAACCAAATCTACTTGAGGTTTGCTTTCTGCAAGATTATCTTCAACGATGATTTTTTTCTTTAATACTTGTGTTTGTGGAGTTATGACTTCTTTCTGGTGAATTGTATTCTGAACGCTCTTTTTTATTCGTTTTTTCGCCGGCTCAACAACAATATATTTCTCACTTTCTGTGCTGGCTTGATCAACGCTGACTGTCGCGATGTCTGCTTCTAATGCAGATTCCTCTACAACGACTCCGTCTGACATAATATCTGTGCGCATCACGCCAGTCACCAAAATCTCAGCTCCACCAGTACCAGCAAGTGTTCCCGTCTCCGCAATACCGGTGACCACAGTTGCCACACCACCAACGGCACCCGCCACTATAGAAGTGGATGTGTCAGTTGCTAAACCGGCTACACCTCTCACCATATCTGAAAAAAGATTGGACAACGTTAATGTCCTGTCACAAAAGTGTTCCGAAGAACCAGGAAACTCTCAGGCGCACTTGAATGAGGCTTAGTCGTCAAATAAAATATGCCTTTAGCAGGCATGCAGATTGCCATATCAAATTATAAGCTAAGAATGACATGTTCTTATTGGACTCCATTTCATATTCATCAGAGATATACTAAAGTTAAACAAAGAACCCCATAGTTTGGTGCAGCGCTATTTGTTGTATTTCCTCTTGAAATATATACTAATATCAGAAAGGAATTGATCATATGTTCTTTGTTCATAGTTGAAAAGTCCACCTCCCGTGCATAGTTTTATTATTTTGTGCGCTTTACGACTTTTCGGCGAGTGGAACTTTTCTTTGGTGTTGGGGAATCGTCTTTGTTCGAATCCTTTTCGTCCAGGTCTTTTTTCACCGATTTCTTCAATACCTTTATGCTTTTTTTAGATGGCTTTGCTTCAGCAATGTCCCCTCCATCTTCCGTCATGGTTAGATTAGAAGAAATAGTTTTTAGAGTCAAATTACAGCTTGTTTCAACAGGCACTGACGCTTTAGTTCCGGAATCAATTTCTTCCATAAGATACTCTCCCTCCTTATTTTCGGTCGACCCTTTGGGGTTTTCTTTGCTAGTTTCAATTTCGCTATCTTGAGAAACTTCTTTGTTTGATTTTTCTTTCTTCTTGATGACCTTTCGCCTGACGGATGGTTTTTTTAAACTCTCCCCGGCTGTGGAAAGTGTTTTCGTTTTTTTGACAATTTTCTTGGTGCTATGGGCATCGTGCAGTTGGGCAGTCGCCAACGGATCTAGATCTGTTCCATCAAGTTCCAAATTGTCTGATTTTTCTGTCAAATCTATGTGAACATCAGTAGCTGGTAGTTCGTTCGCGGTACTTTCCAAATTGAGTGTTTCGGGAAGTGATTCGTTTGCGGCAACAATATCTTCTTCACCGTCCGGTAGATCGGCTTTTAAATTCGAGGATTGACTCGTTTCTTGTTCTTCTTTGTCTAAATTTTGAGTGCGATTCATCACGACGTTTTTATCATCGGGTACTTCATCAGGCAAAACGTGTTCTGGTGACATTGGGAAATCATCGTGATTATTTTGATCATCTCTTTTATGTTCTTGTTGATCAATGTCTATTTTATTTTCATTGTCTGTAATTAGATCTGATGCATCTATTTGTAAATTGCCTTCTGAAACTTTCAACAACTCTTGTTGTGGAGTTTGAATGTCAGTGTGGGCCATTTTTTCAGTTTCATCAATAGTTTGTTGTTCTGTACCTATTATGTCAGACACATCTTCACTAGGGTCCTCTGTGTCTTTTGGCTTCTTAATAATCTTGCGCCTAATCGAAATTTTTTTCGGTGGGTTATCAGACTTATTGTCATTATTCATGGGCTTTTTAATTTTCTTTACAACTTTTTTACTCTTTCGTTCAGATTTTGCAGTATCAATGTTTATCTCAATTTCAATATGTTTGGCGACAGCAGTCTCTTGCTCATCGCATGTACGTTCTTCAGTAGAAACAACGCCTACATCGTCTGGGAGTTTAATGGACAACTCCCCGGACCCCACTGTATGGAATTTTACATTACCTTGGTGCATTTGGTTGTTATTTGAATCTTCCAGAAATTGGGTTGTTATGTTCTCATTCGTTTTGTCTTTCATGACTGCATTTTCGGCTGAACTACCTTCCGTTTTTGTTTCTTCACTTTCTTCATCAGGCAAGACATATTCTTTTAGGCCTTGAAAATCTTGGCTGGGATTTAAATTAACATTGTCAGCATTATATGTTTCCACCTCAATTTGCGTTTTGTTTTCACCCTCGTTGTTCGCATCAACAGGTTTTATCACCGAATGCGGTTCTGAAACGTTTGCCAACTCTTGTTCATTTTGAACATCATCCGGGATAACATTTTCAGTTTCTCTTTTATCAGCATCTTTCTCATCAATAACTTTACCAACCTCTTTTTCTGCATGTTTTTTAATTTTTCGTCGAACAGAAACTTTTTTAACTGATGATTCCGACTTTTTGTTTTCTTCCGACGGTTTTTTAATTTTTTTCACAACTTTTTTACTCTTCCGATCAGGTTCTATGATTTCAATGGTAGTCTCTTTATTAATACCTTCGGTAACAGCAGTCTCTTGCCCGCCGTCTACGCGGTCTTCGGCAGTTGAGACAATTTGTGCTTTTACATCCATATCGTCTTGGAGTTCCATCGGGAACTCCTCGGATACTATTGCATCGAATTTTATTTGTTCTACTTGCATTTGATCGTTACTTGAATCATTTGTCGAATATGCGATAACGTTTTCATTTGCTGTAACTATGGTTATGGTTGAATTATCATCAATTTCTGTGTCACCCATTGCATCCTGGGGCACGGCATATTTCTTTGTGATATCAGAGTCCTGGACAAGATTTTGATTGTCATCCCCAGTAAGATATGTTTGGAGCTGATCAAATGCTTTGTTATCAGTCGCATTATCCACGTCAACAAAGGCGTTCTTCAATTCGGTTACTGCATCTTTATTCAACTCTTCGTGATCTTGCACTTTATCGGAGATAGCAGTTTCAGAGTTTTCTTGGTTATCTTGATTTTCCGCATTACCCGTGGCAACTTCGTCTTCTGCAACTTTCACTTCATCGCCTTGTTTCTTTGTTGCTTTACGCCTAACGGAAATCTTTTTATGTGGTGAATCCGATTTTTTGTCACCTTCCAATGTTTTTTTAATTTTCTTCACAACTTTTCTACTCTTCCGTCCAGATTTTGTAGTATCAATGTTTGTTTCACTTTTAATATTATTGGCGTCAGCAATCTCTTGCTCGTCACCTGTACGTTCTTCGGCAGATACAACTTGAGTTTGCACATCCTTATCGTCTTGAAGTTTTATCGCCAACTCCCCAGACCCTATTGTGTCATTTTCTACATGCATTTGATTACTACTTGTAACTTCCATAATCTGGGCGGTGATGTTATCGCTTGTTTCGACCATCGTGGCCGCAGTTTCGGTTAATCTATCTTTTGTTTTTGGTTCATCAATTACTTCACCAAGTAAGGCATATTTTTGGGGGTTTTGTAAATCTTGGCTAAGATTCAAAATGACATTGTCAGTGTAATAAGTTTCTGGCTCAATGTGTGTTTTGTTTTCAATCTCGTTGTCCGTATCAACAGACTGCATTTCCAAATTTATTTCTGCAACGTTTATCAACTTATGTTGATTCTGAGCCTCATCGGAGATGATATTTGTGGCTTCCTCACCATCGCCCCCTTGTTTCTTATTAATTTTAACAACCTCGTCTTCACCTAGTTTAATTGCAACGTTAGGCTTTTTAACAACCTTACGTCGAACAGAAACCTTTTTAACTGGTGATTCCATATTTTTGTTATCTTCTGATGGTTTTTTAATTTTCTTAACAACTTTTTTACTTTTCCGTTCAGATTTCGTGATATCAATGGTTGTCTCATTTTTAATATTTTGGGCAACAGCAGTCTCTTCCCCGGCGCTTATGCGATCTTCATCGGAGCCAAATTGTGCTTGTAAGTTTGTATTATCTTGCGATTCTATCGGCAACTCTTCGGAAACTTTGGCATTAATTTCTATATCTGCAACATGCATTTGCTCATTACATGTTTCACCTATTGAATATGCGATAACGTTTTCATTTGATTCGTCGTTAACAACTGTGGTTACGGTAGAATTGTCGTCAATTTGTATTTCATCTTTTGCATCCTGAAGCGCGCCGGACTCTTTTGAGATATTGAAGTCTTGGCTAAGATTTTGATTAACATCATCAGTGCGATATGTTTGTAGCTGATCGTGTGCTTTGTTATCAGTCGCATTGTTAAGGTCAACAGAACTCATCTTCAAATCAGTTTTTGCATCTTTTATCACCTCTTTGGGGTTTATGATTTCATCGGACGAAGGTTTTTCTTGGTTATATGTTTCTAGCTCAACATGTGTTTTGTTTTCAATCTCGTTTTCCATATCAACAGGTTTTATCACCGAGTCGGGTTCTGTCACGTTTGTCAACTCTTGTTGATTTGGAACATCATCTGGAACTACAATTTCAGTTTCTTCTTGATCAGCATCTTTTTCATCAAAAGTTTTGCCAATTTCGTCTTTTTTCAGTTCCATTGCAATGTTGGGCTTCTTAACAACCTTACGTCGAACAGAAACTTTTTTACTGAATGATTCAGACTTTTTGTTATCTTCTGACGGTTTTTTAATTTTCTTTACAACTTTTTTACTCTTCCGTTCAGATTTTGTGGTATCAATGGTTGTCTCAGTTTTAATATTTTGGGCAACAGCAGTCTCTTCCCCGGCGCTTATGCCATCTTCATTGGACCTAAATTGTGCTTGCAAGTCTGTATCATCTTGCGGTTCTATCGGCAACTCATCGGAAACTTTTGCATCAATTTCTATATGTTCAACTTGCATTCGGTCTTTAATTGATTCTCCTATCGAATATGCGGTAAGGTTTTCATTTGATTCGTCGTTAACAACTGTGGTTACGGGAGAATTGTCGTCAATTTTTGTTTCATCCTTTACATCCTGAGGCGCGCCAGACTCCTTTGAGATATTGAAGTCTTGTCCAAGATTTTCATTAAGATCACCAGTGCGATATGTTTGTAGCTGATCGTGCGCTTTGTTATCAGTCACATTGTTCAGATCAACAGGACTCATCTTCAAATCATCTTCTGCATCTTTTATCACCTCTTTGTCTTTTGTGACTTCATCGGACAAGGGTTTTTCTTGGTCTGTATTGTCAGTATTATATGTTTCTAGCTCGACATGTGTTTTGTTTTCAATCTCGTTGTCCATATCAACAGGTTTTATCACCAAATCGGGTTCTGTCACGTTTGTCAACTCTCGCTGATTTGGAACATCATCCGGAACAACAATTTCAGTTTCTTCTTGATCAGCATCTTTTTCATTATAAGTTTTGTCAATCTCGTATTCTGTCAGGTTATTTGCAACGTTTGGTTTCTTAACAACCTTACGTCGAACAGAGACTTTTTTGATTTGTGAGTCCGACTTTTTGTTTTCTTCTGACGGTTTTTTAATTTTCTTAACAACTTTTTTACTTTTTCGTTTAGATTTTGTGGTATCAATGGTTGTCTCAGTTTTAATATTTCGGGCAGTAGCAGTCTCTTCCCCGGCGCTTATGCAATCTTCATCGGAGCCAAATTGCGCTTGCAAATCAGTATTATCTTGCGGTTCTTTCGGCAACTCATCGGAAACTTTTGCATCAACTTCTATGGGTTCAACTTGCATTTGCTCACTACTTGATTCACCTATCGAATAGGCGGTAACGTTTTCATTTGATTCGTCGTTAACAACCGTGGCTACGGTAGAATTGTCGTGAATTTTTGTTTCATCCTTTTCATCCTGAGGCGCGGCAGACTCCTCTGAGATATTGAAGTCTTGGCCAACATTTTGATTAAAATCATCAGTGCGATATGTTTGTAGCTGATCGTTCGCTTTGTTATCGGTCACATTGTTCAGATCAACAGAACTCATCTTCAAATCAGCTTCTGCATCTTTCATCAACTCTTTGTCTTTTGTGACTTCATCGGACAAGGGTTTTTCTTGGTCTGTATTGTCAGTATTAAATGTTTCTAGCTCAACATGCGTTTTGTTCTCAATCTCGTTATCCATATCAACAAGTTTAATTGCCAAATCGGGTTCTGTCACGTTTGCCAACTCTTGTTGATATGGAACATCATCCGGAACAACAATTTCAGTTTCTTCTTGATCAGCATCTTTTTCATTATAAGTTTTATCAACATTGTCTTCTGTCATTTTATTTGCAACGTTTGGTTTCTTAACAACCTTACGTCGAACAGAGACTTTTTTAATTGATGATTCCAACTTTTTGTTATCTTCTGACGGTTTTTTAATTTTCTTAACAACTTTTTTACTTTTCCGTTCAGATTTTGTGGTATCAATGGTTGTCTCATTTTCAATATTTTGGGCAACAGCAGTATCTTCCCCGGCGCTTATGCGATCTTCATTGGAGCCAAATTGTGCTTGCAAGTCTGTATCATCTTGCGGATTTATCGGCAACTCTTCAATAACTTTTGTATCAGCTTTGTCTTGTTCAACTTGCATTAGGTCATTACTTGATTCAACTAACGAATATGTGGTAACGTTTTCATTTGATTCGTCGTTAACAACTGTGGTTATGGTAGAATTGTCGTCAAATTTTGTTTCATCTTTTACATCCTGAGGCGCGGCAGACTCCTCTAAAATATTGAAGTCTTGGCCAAGATTTTGATTAACATCATCAGTGCGATATGTTTGTAGCTGATCGTGCGTTTTGTTATCAGTCACATTGTTCAGGTCAACAGAACTCATCTTCAAATCTGCTTCTGCATCTTCCATCAACTCTTTGTCTTTTATGATTTCATCGGACAAAGGTTTTTCTTGGGTGGTATTCTCAGTATTATATGTTTCTAGCTCATCATGTGTTCTGTTCTCAATCTCGTTGTCCATATCAACAGGTTTTATCATCAAATCGGGTTCTGTCACGTTTGCCAACTCTTGTTGATTTGGAACATCATCCGGAACAACAATTTCAGTTTCTTCGTGATCAGCATCTTTTTCATTATATGTTTTGTCAACCTTCTCTTCTGTCAGTTTATTTGCAACGTTTGGTTTCTTAACAACCTTACGTCGAACAGAGACTTTTTTAATTGGTGATTCTGACTTTTTGTTATCTTCTGACGGTTTTTTAATTTTCTTAACAACTTTTTTACTTTTTCGACCAGATTTTGTGGTATCAATGGTTGTCTCAGTTTCAATATTTTGGGCAACAGCAGTTTCTTCCCCGGCGCTTATGCTATCTTCATTGGAGCCAAATTGTGCTTGCAAGTCCGTATCATCTTGTGAATTTATCGGCAACTCTTCGAAAACTTTTGTATCAGTTTTGTCTTGTTCAACTTGCATTAGGTCATTACTTGATTCACCTAACGAATATGTGGTAACGTTTCCATTTGATTCGTCGTTAACAACTGTGGTTATGGTAGAATTGTCGTCAAATTTTGCTTCATCCTTTACATCCTGAGGCGCGGCAGACTCCGCTGAAATATTAAAGTCTTGGCCTAGATTTTGATTAACATCATCAGTGCGATATGTTTGCAGCTGATCGTGCGTTTTGTCATCAGTCACATTGTTCAGGTCAACAGAACTCATCTCCAAATCAGCTTTTTCATCTTTTATCAACTCTTTGTCTTTAATGACTTCATCAGACAAAGATTTTTCTTGCTCGGTATTATATGTTTCTAGCTCAACATGTGTTTTGTTTTCAATCTCGTTGTCCATATCAACAGGTGTTATCGCCAAATCGGGTTCTGTCACGTTTGCCAACTCTTGTTGATTTGGAACATCACCCGGAACAACAATTTCAGTTTCTTCTTGATCAGCATCTGTCAGTTTAATTGCAACGTTGGGCTTCTTAACAACTTTACGTCGAACAGAGACTTTTTTAATTGACGATTCCGACTTTTTGTTATCTTCTGACGGTTTTTTAATTTTCTTAACAACTTTTCTACTCTTCCGTTCAGATTTTGTGGTATCAGTGGTTGTCTCCGTTTTAATATTTTGGGAAAAAACAGTTTCTTCCCCGGCGCTTATGCGGTCTTCATTGGAGCCAAATTGCGTTTGCATACCAGTATCATCTTGCAGCTCTATTGGAAACTCCTGGGAAACATTTGCCTCAATTTCTATATGTTCGACTTGCATTTGCTCATTACTTGAATCCGTTGTATCAACATCTCTATGTTCACGGTCATTTTGATCGTTACTTGAATATAGCATTGATTGAGTGACAATGTTTTCGCTTGTTGATTGGTTAATCACTGACAGTTTGGTGAAATCATCTTCGTCTTTTGTTTCCTCCGTTATTTTGAGAGGTATAATATTTTCTGTGGAAATTTGAATGTCTTCGTGAAGATTTTGGTTGGCATTGACAATAGTATTTTTATCCAGATCAACACGTTCTAGGCTTCCATTCTCTTTTTCCAAATCCACTTTACCTTTTTCTAAATTGGATTCTTTTGTGCTATCAAGTAGCATTTCAGTTTTCATGATTTTGACAACATTAGGTTCTTGCTCGCCACTTGCATGTTCTTCCTTGGAGCTGAGATATGCTTGTAAATCTCTGTCGTCGAGGTCTTTTAATGACGATTCCTCAGGAAATATTGTATCAATATCAACATTTTTGACGTGCACTTGATTTTTGCTTGAATCTTCCTCAGCATGGCCAGTAATATTCTCAACTGCCTCTTCAACAGATAGTGCGAGGTCTTGATTTACATTTTCAGTGCTAGCTGCCTTTAGCCAATCATCTTTTTTGTTTTTATTACCTTCTTCATTTGAGCTATCTTGAGCGTGTACGTCGTCCTCATGTTTGTGTTCTATTGGCAACACCTCAGGAAGTGTAGCATCAATTTCTACACTTTCGCCATGCTTTCGATCGCTACTCGAATCGTCCGTCGAAAGCGTGTCTGCATTTTCGTGTGTTTCGTTGATACCCATTCCAACTGGAGTAAAACTACTCTCAACGACTGTTTCCTCGACTTCCTCGTTAATAGAGATATTTTCGTCTGAGTTTTTAAAATCTTTAACAACTTTTTTTTCTGCATCATTACTGCCATATGTTTCTGTATGAGTTAAGTTTGCAGTCTCATTTTCAAGGCTGACAGTTCCCATTTCTAAATTGGTTTCCACTTCCTTTACCAATTCTTGTTGGTAACCAGCGGAAATAATCGGTTCAGTTTTCTCAAAGTCGGTATTTTGTTCCATATTTGCATTGGTACTTTCGAGATTCTCCGTAGCAACTACATTTGAAATCTCACCATCATTAGCTTGTGTATTGAAATCAGCTGAAAAGCCAGCATCGTAATCAAAACCCATGCTTTCTTGGTATGCGGTATTTTCTTCGACACCCCTGGTGTCTTCGTGAATGAATTGACTAATGTCTATTACATTACCAGTGAAGTAGTCATCTACCTTTTCGACCAATGGTATATCTTCTTTCAGCATTTGCGATGTTCCATCTATTTCGCCTTCGTACATTGTACCTTGAGGTGATTTTATTATGTCGTCTGATCTATCGTGTGTTGTATCGACGTTTACATCTTGAGGTGCAAACTTTATTTCTTCTTGTTCAACGATATGTAATTTTTGACTGGTAATGTCATTGTCGTATTCAGGCACGACGGAGGTCGTATCTTTTTCTTCCGCGGACAAATGAGTAGATTTCTCTTCCGAATACCAAACTTTCCTTTCACCACTCTTTTCCTCAGTTTGTGACAAAAAAATTGGATTTTCTGTATCTTGCAAGTCCCCAGTCATTGGATTTGCTTCATAGTTAAGTTCTGCCAGGATGTCAAAAAGTGAAAGTTTGTCATCCTCATCATCAATTAATTCCCTCATATTAATTGCAGAGTGCAAAGTATCTCTGTCTGCTGAGTCTATATGGAATGAGGGTTCGTTTTCTAAATTCACTGAGGTCACAGATAAAATTGTATCTTTTGTGATCTCCGTTATGGAACTCGATGCGTCACTATATTCTGACTTATATATTTCGTCGGCCTCTTCCTCTTTAATCGGAGCAAGCACGGGGTGTTCACTGTATTGTAAATCTTGAGGTATTGACGCAGCAGCATTTTCATCCTGGCTATCAGGTTCCTCGGGTATTGATTGCATGTGTAACATTTCATGTTCCGTCTCGTTTCTTTCGACATTTTCGGCATCTTGTGCGACAAACTCATTATCGATGTCGTGCTTATTTATATCTTCTTCCTTTTTAGTTTCTGTCTTTTGCAACACTAGAAGTGAACCTTCGGTGTCGGATATGAAAGTAACTTCGTCTGATTCGATGGATTTACTCGCAGATATTTCATCTGAATCTTTCTCAGACGTAGCGTCATGCAATGTGTTTGATTGCAATTCAGCAGCCGTATCTTCGATTGTTTCTTGTTGAAGATCATAAGTTTCACCAGAAAAGGCAAGCATGCCATCTGTCTCTTTTCTTTCACCCCTTTCCGTATTTATGCCTGTTTCAGGGGCGACGTGTGCGGAACCATCATCTTCAGCCATTGTACCTAAAACAGAAGTTTCCGCTTGAGTTACTTTATTTCGCAATTCTGGAGAATCACATATACGTATCGGATCAGACACAGTTCTTGTTTTATCAGAGAGACTGTTTATTCTCAGTTCTAACAATATATCCCCCAATGAAAGCATTTCATCACTTTCAAGTGCTCTGTCTGAGTTTTGTATATCTGGATCAATATCACCAGCCAGATTCAAAGATTGTTTTTCAACATCATTTGGTTTTTCCTCCATATGAGACTCTCCTAGCGCATCAACTGACGCACTGTTTGAACTTTCTGCCGGCTGACTTTCACCGATAGACTCTTGAATTTCTTCAAGATTTTGCACAGCTTCAATATCATGTCCTTCTTTATTTTCGTTTGATTTCACATTGCTAATTTTACCGACAACGTCAGTTTTTTTCTTTATAACTTTTCTTTTCGTCGATGCTCTTGACTTTCTTTCAGTATTAGACAAGTCTTCGGAACTAGTTGTTGTTTGTATGTCTGCATCTGTGGAGATCTTACTTTTTTTAATACTTTGACCTGACTTCTTTATCTTTATACTCTTTATTTTCTTTGCTGGCTTTTTTTCTTTCATAGTAACGCTATCTCCGGATTTAGGTTTATGATAGTCTTCAGTAGTTTCTTGTGTGTTAACTGAAGATAATGGATACACGTCTTCGGAGAATGATAACATAGTGACCGGAATGTCAGAATTGTCTTTGTCTGGCTTGGTATCTCCAGATATACTGGAAGGTATTGTTTCTTTCGAAACATGACTTACAGTTTGATCATCGGCTTGAACATCATGTAATTCTTGGGTTTCAGATGTATTCCCTTCATTGGAATATTCTGTTGAATCGGACGTATCAGGAATAGTTCCAATAGGGGGTGATTCCATAATCGCTTCTAATACTATTTTTGCTGCAATATCATCTAACACGACAGCTGTAGAGATAGGCATTGCACTTGTTTCTGCTTCATCGTCAATTGTCTCATCTAATGGTTTAGAATTTTCAGATACAGATTGATTCTCATCTTCAATATAGGATATATCATTTCTTTTGTTTTCAACGTCCAAATCATTTGCAGATTCCATGTATATTTCTTTGCTTTTTGGTGGAGATTGTGATTCTTTTCTTTCATTGACAAACTTATCTGTTGCAGTGCTTAGAGTTTTATCAGTTTGTTTGTCGTCTGCAAGTTCGTCTGAAGATTCTTCAGCAGAAAGTGCTTCGATAGCTTCCGTTACTGTTTCAACCAACTCAGCTCCGAGTTGTTGTATCAATTCAATTTGTCTATGACTCGGACTGTGAATGTTCTCAGTCATAGAACCATCACGTGGTTTCCCAGTTTCGTCATCAAGAGTAAAATGATCAGTATACGTCTGTACTTCATTTGTGTTTTCAGACTTAGTCAATATGTCTATTTCTTTGAGATCAGAAATATCTTCCGGTGTTTCGAACGATATAGAGCTTGGAATGTCCCCACCTACAACCTCGAGATCACTGTTTTCATTCGTTGATTTGAAGTCATTACCTGGCCTACCAATTTCTTCACTGTTTGCAATGTCCAGTGTGTTGATATTTTCATTATTTAACGACATTGTAACGACTTGATAGCTTTCATCGGATGGTGCTATGTCCCCTGAATCCTTATGAACACCGGCATTTCGATCAGCATCGAGAAAACTCTCCATAGCTTTGGACATTGCGTCTGTTATTATTGATGTCGCTTTATCAATGATTTTAGTTGATATTACCATGTCGTCATTTGTTCCTTCTGATATCTCGGAAACATTTGGTTCAACTAATCCAGTATCATTATACAATGTATCATGCGAGATAGGTGTTAAAGTGACATCGTCGTTTGTAAGAGTTATATCTAGTGTTTCAGAGTCTATCACTATGTTGTAGTCATCGGATTGAGCATCAAGAATTCCAGTATTGTTATTTACAAACGGCAAATCATATGAAATATCACTTTCCACTTCTGTTCTGTGTCCACTTCCAGGAATTTCAATTTTTTTCGTGCTTGTTAATGCTTCATCGGATTCACTTTTCATTCTCATATCAGAATCGTGATTACCGGGAGTTTCGTAATTTGTTATCGGATCTTTGACTTCACCAGTTGCGTCATGGACATCTGTAGTAGTATGTGAACTAGTTTCCGAAGCTTCGTAACCATATGATTCCTCTAGGATGACTTCCTCATCAGGATGGGATTCAAATCCGCCGTTGTTGGGATCTGAATATTGTGGAATGGTGTCATCATCATCAACATGGTATTGTTGATCATAAAAGTACTGTTCATAATCATTCCCCTCGCTGATGTAAAGTTCAGAATCATCACTGTCGAACTGCTCACTGTATTCTCTGTATTTTTCCTCGTCATAGTCTGATATAGAAATTGTTGGAATTTTCGGTTTTATAGGAGATTCTTCTATTTGAGTTTCATCTTCTTCTTCTATTGCTTCGCATAGAGGTTTAAAGCCAGCATTGTAATCAGTGTCTGGTAAATTGATATCACTGAATTCTGTAAATTTCATGTATGTTGGCATATCAGGGCTGTTGCTTTCGCTAGGAATTGTACTTGAGGAATCCTCGATATCTTGGTCTAATATTGTTTCACCTGTTATTACTAAGCTGCTGCTTTCTACAGTCGTAGGCAGGGGTATTTCTACTGAGCCTTGTGGAGATTGTTCAGAAATTGCCGAAGCTTCAATATTGGTAATATCTTTCTGTTTTTCAAGAATTTTTTCGATCGAGTCGATATAATCTTCTGGAGCATAACTTGGTTCAGGATCGTGTTCTTTGTGTAATACTGAGTCGGTGTTATCATCGTGAAAATAGTTTTGTGGAATGTCTTTAACATTGGATTTTTGAGAATAGATTTCAATTTTCTTTTGTTCTGATGTATCTACATCTGAACGAATCGCAAATTGTGGAAATGTATTATATGCTCTTGTGTTGTCGTATTCGGATGATAAATCATTTCCATCATCGTCACATTGAATCACTGTTGTTTGTTCAGGAGATACATTGACGTTCGCTGAGGTGGATGCTTCCTGTACTTGAGCGACATCCGTTATGTCAATGGTTTGCTCAGTTGACTCATCCAATGTTAGATCCTTTGATTGTGCAGCGATTTTAATTCCGGCAGAAGATGGAGAGACTGCAAGGTTCAATGCCGAATCTGAAATTACATTATATGTATTTGTGGTTTGCGATTGAGTTATTTCACCTGCCTGTTCGCTCGGATGAACGATTACATTACTCACAGCGTGAACATCACCAGAGTCTGAAGACAACTTTTCCGATATTTCTTTCACAGGAATGCTGATGTTGTCATCATCGGCCTCGTCTTTAATAAAGAGATTTGTGAGTTGTGAACCGTTGTCTTCAGTCAAAATTTCATCGGCCAACTCACTTTCAAATTGCAACTTTTCAACATTGTCCAGAAGATCTTCCACCACATTCAATACCGATTCCGAACTTGTGATTTCGTCAATAGATAACTGTTTTTCGAAGCCAAATTTGTTTTCGAATTTCACTTCGCTTTGATCTGTTGATGGTATGGAATCTAGAAATTCTACAAGAGAAAGAGGATCATCTCCGTATGAACCATCATCTGAAACTGACCCTGTCGGAGCCAAATTATCGGTGTATAGTGGTATTGGTAAATAAGGAGTTGTTTGGACATTATGGCCATCACTGCTAAAAATACTGTCAGCATTCGCCAAATCAGCGTTTTCTAACACATTCGCACTATTAGTTTCAGTGACATGTTCAAACGTTGAAATGTCTTCAACCCATTCAGTATTTTTGCTTTCAAATGAAAATGTACCGTTATCCGATTTAATTGGAGAGTTTATGTCTGCCTCTGCTTGATCAGTAGACAGAATCAAATTTTCTGCAGATATTGTTTGTTGGGTTTCTATAACATTGCTAATATAAACATCTAAATTTGGCGTAGTCGTCGCAGATATTTCGTTGGTTGCTGCAGATGGCAAAATTCCTTCTGTTTCTACTGTATCTCCGGAGCGTAAATCTGAAAGGTTAATCTCACACGGTTCATCTGTGATGCTTTCCAAACTTCTACATATGTCAACGTCGGCGTGGTTGAACTCATCACCCAAGTGACTCATTTTATTGGGTGTTTTTTCATACTGCATATGTTCTTGTTTCGCCGTTGTATGTGTGTAATCAGTTTGTTGCGCGAGTAACCTTCCAAATAAATCTGGTTGATACTCTTCGGATGGAACAATGACAGGAACGACCTCCGGCTCATTTTCTGCGTAATCTTTTATGGTGATTTTATCAACAGTTTCGTCTAATCGGGCAAAAGTCGAATCAAATTCAGTGCTTATTAGGTCCGCAAAGTTTTCGAATTTATCTTTAGTCTCTTTCTCGTCTCTGCCAACAGATTTCGGTACATTTTCATTGCTTACGTTTGTTGGTACGATAGTTTCTTCATTCGCCTCTTCATCGGGGTCGTCATCACTTTTGTCCTTTCCAATATTCCATGAGGAGAACGTGTCTGAAAACCATTCGGCGATTTTGCTTTTTCCTTCTTTATCATCATCTTCTTCATTCGAATTATTTTCTGGTGGCGTTTCAGACTCTTTCGATATTTCAGATGTTTCTTTGGGATCGTTCGCACTTGAAGAACCTTCTTCTTCGCTTTCGCTGAACGACTTATCGGCTATCTGTTTCTTTTCGATGTGCTCGTCGGAGCTTAATTGTTGTTTTTCCTGGGCTAAATTTTCAATTTGAGAAGTTTGGGGTGCAGTGGTATCAACTTTGGATGTAATTTTCACGTCATTGCCTTTGACGTCTATGGTAACCACTACTGAAGTGTCCTTGGGTCTGTTGATGGACTGTTCTTGGATCGTGGTATTGATTTTCTCTTTATCTGAAGCATCATTGGATTTTTTGTAGTCTTTCAAATTTAAGATTGTGTGTTAGAAAACAAATGTTGTTAGATTTTAAACTCAAGTATTAGTTACAAAGTTTTACCAATATTTACCATGTATAATAAGGTGAACAATCGATATTGGAATGCATTAGTAAACCTTAGCTACTTTTTGTTTGGAGAAACTACTGGAGGTTTCATATTTTGTCAGAATTTAAAATACGTTTACTACCATCACGTTAAAGATATAAAATATATATTTAAATAATTATTTCTCTATGTCAGATTAGGAAATATTCTTTTAGTAAACACTACATCGAAATTAAAATGATCAGTTAGCATTGAGTCATGCTATATCAAAAACAATAACAGTGACCCAAACTGGTTTCTACGCTACAGTTAAACGTCCAGAACCCCTCTCCCAACTCAGTCACAAAAATTTGCATGCAATTAAAGTCTCACTTATATCTGTCGTAGTCTCTATGATTTCCAACGGTGCAGTGGTAACTGTTTCTGCAGATATAAAACACTTTGAAGATGAATAATGATGTGACAATAAATCACTAGGTTAATAAATCATGTGGTTGCAAAGATGTTGAGAAATTACCTAACTCAACAATCAACTAAAAAGAGGAACAGCGACGATAGAATAATTGTAAATGACTACTCATAACTACTAAGTGCTTTATACAGATTTATTTTTTCGGTAGAGATGCCAGTAGATAGAGGTTGCCACGAGACGTGAAACAATTCGATCTCACATGACCAGGGAAACAGTTTTATTATCAAAAGGCGAAAACTTTTTATTCAACTTATGGCAGTATAGATAGAGCTAAGTAACTACTGCACGGCATTGGCTGTTGGTATCGTGTAAACGAGGAGGAGGAGGATTTACAAATTCATCCCGATGGAGAGAAAAGCCGATAAGACGACTGAATGATATACCGAACTGCGGCCTCTCGTCCGTCACCAGTCAGGTATGGGATGAGTACGCCAGTTATTTTTTCAGATGCATGGACTTGGTGGTGGAGGGAGCCGTAACCGAACAGCGGTTACATGAATCACCCTTTGGCAGCGAGGGTGATCCAGCCGTTCTCTCGCACATAAATATCTCCATGAGATTCTAACCTGCGAACCCAAGCAGGGTAATCAGAGATGCGATGTCAAGCGCATTCTTAAAGCCTAACACGAAGGTTGATAAAGATGTTAGTAAAACACTCCATAGTAGCATGCATGTTGCAAAACAGTAAAAAAAACATTTCAAGTCATCTGAATTAAATTTTTATTTCCGATTGAAAAAGTATACAGCGAATGAACAAACAAGCCTGAAAAAAAAAACGTTACTCACCGGTTGTTGTTAAGAGATGTGTCCTAACGAGACCACTGGCTGCTAGAGTGAAGTTCTTGCCTCTTGTTGCTACCTCTTTTATCCATTCGCCAGTAAATATTTTCAGAAAAGTCAATTGTTTTTTATCGAAGTTCACTGACTTTCGTCGAAGTATTCTTAAAGCAACAAATATTATTTATAAATTATTATTTATGTGGAATAAAAACTGCCTCCAGTTGCATAATGCTGCCGAATATAATTTAAATAAGTTGTTTGAGGGATCTAAAGATGCTACGCTAAAACTAAAAAAAAACTTACTATTACATGAACGACAGTACACTTCGAAATAAACAGTCAAACTATATAATTGAACATAGATTTGAATGTTATTAATAGCTTTTTCTATGCAAATCCTAATTGAATTCATATTTATCACATAATCTGTTAGATCTTGTTGATTGAAATTGAAAAATATATATCATTAGACTGACTTTTACGAGATGTCTAAAATGACATTGTAAGAATGTAAGATGAGTCATGCTTTCTAGCAGGTTAGGCAGTTTTGCATATAATATATCGAAAGTAGAAGACAGTTTAGCATATCGCTTTCCTGCTGTCTGATTTGAGTTTCATATTTGTTACAATGGTCATTTTCAACTTAATGTTTTTGGGTTGTATTCTGTATTTTAGCATCGCATTGCGCATTATAAAATAAAACACGTAGTGTTTTCACTTCATCATACACTTCATCATTCTTTTCTTTGTTTCGTGAAATAATGCAGTCTTTATACCTTCACCTTATAACATAGTTTTTCTACTTTAAATTATTGTTGCGACTTATTTGAACATGATTGCATGACAATAATCGTTTGCAATGGCAAAATTGAAATTTCTATATTGTTAGTAGTTATCGAAACTTTCTGCAAGGATGAGTAATTTTAGCACGACAACAAAGGGATACATGAACAAGGAAAATACAATTTACAATAACGAATTTGCAAAACCACATGAGGTATTTCCACATTGCAATGTTACTGCTTTTTAGGTATGGAACCGTCTTGTTGATTAGAAATGATCACTGGACATACATAAACGAAAACATCCTAATATTCCAAATATAGTTTGATAAAATGGAATCAGTATTATCAAATATTTTGCAAATATAATCTCGTGCAAAACAAAACAGCAATAAATAATTTTTGGACCTACTGAAGTATGCGCACCAAGATGGCGCACAACCTGAACTCAGGCTGTGTACCAGGATATGGTTCAGGTTGTGCGACATCTTGGTGCGCATACTTCAGGAGTACCTAAATTTTTTTTTCGATTTCCAAAAAGTTTTAATAAATAGGTATATTCCCGTTCAAAATAGACCTCAACAACGAAATAAAATTAATCCATTTTTTCATACTTGACTCTTTTTTCCTCAGTTTCTCTGATTTTCTCATCTCTGTTTAGAACTTTAAGAATCGTTGTCCTTTCTTCAACCGTCAGATAAGAAAGATCGATGTTTTCAGATACCATGTTGCCTGCAAGGTAACATTCGTGTCAAATATGAGTTGTTTTTGGTTTTTACATTAAATGTCGATATGCATTATATAAACGAGTTGCAATCCAGATATATCCAGATTTTGGCGTCTGAAATTGTATCACCGCGCGAATGAGCGTGTAAATTACCTACTAGTATTTGATTAAGTGGGCCCAAGAATTCATTTATTTGATAAGACGACGAAACAGAAAGTAATTGTTGCTTAGATTTATTCTTCCGAGTGTACAAAAACATGCAGATGAATTTATACAGCGTAAAGCTACTTATAATCTTATCTAGCAAATTGCTCGGTTTGTAGCTACGTAGACGACACTCTTTCTCAAATTACAAACCTTGACCCAGGCCCACCTGGACAATAAAGGCTATTCGATAAGAAGGTATTGCCCCTTGTTTCAAATCTGGTAATGAATGACGACACTTGGTTAAACGCTTTGTTCTTGTCTGTTTTGATTTATCATACAATTGAATTTTTCTTGGTGGTAAAATGATAAAGTTTTGATCAGTGTACATTGAAAGCCCATTTCATAAAAATTATCTAAACTGCGTAGGATGTAGCCTACCAACCTACACTTTCATGTTTGTAAATATCATGGTTTGTTCACTGTGTAACAATGTTACAGTACCTTTGCACATCCTATATTGTAATATGAGTAAGTATATAATGACATACAATGTTGAACGAGAGAGACATGCACTGAGATACTTATTGCATGATACTTTATAATTAAAAAGTCAGTTGTCTTACCTGTAGTATTTCAATGTAGTCTTTTCATTAGTTGAATAAATTGCCATAAATCAGTTCCTCATATCCAATCAGCCAACATACACACATATGGTGATATTGACGAATGTACAATAATTTCTGACAAAAACACAAAAGTATATTTTTCTTTCATTTCTGCACTTATTTTTTTTAATATGTATGGAACATAGCTAATTTGGTTTAAAATATGGTTTAAATTATGTAGCTACATTTACTTGTCCCTCGAATACATAATTTTGGCTATTCACATCGTTATGAAACTTTTTATTACTGCATTCAATTTATAAGTAACGCTAAACTGACAAAATCCTGGCAACAATGCTGTAACGGTACCTAAACAGTATTACAATATAATGTGACCTTTCATCGAACTGATAAATAGAGACATATGCCTACTGAATTCCTACTATGTATACTGGGGATACGAACTAACACTGCTTAACTTTTTATCGCTCTCTATGAGTTGTTTCTTTTATTGTTACAATGCCATGGTGTTGACCAATAGGCAATGTGCCGAACGAAATTGTAATGCGTCTGTACAGTGTTGCGTTGCTACATATAAGATATTCCAGGAAGGTATAAGTTTTGCCACTTCCTTTCATACGCACCATCACAACACATGACTCACCCGTCCTACGCAGATATTACACAGAGCAATCCGCGTTCATGCTCTGGTAGGGCAGCTAACCATATGTTTGTTTATTTCATATTAGTCAATTCAAAACAAAGAGAATTGCCTAAATCGGTTGTCAGAGAGGGTGTTCTTTCCAAATGCAATGTATTATTAAATACGAACCATGCAGGTACCATTTTGGTCCATAAACATTTTAGATTGACGTGAACAGCGCTCAAATTAATGATCTGATAACCAGCTGAAGATTTTTATTATTTACCTATAATAGATATATCTGAGGTAATACTAGCACATTATAAAAATTAACAAAACAAAATTGTGATAAAAAAGAGTGTCGTTTGTTGCCACATGTAATTCCTATTCTAAAGGCGTGGCAACGTTCGCACTGCATAGATGACTGATAACTTCCTTGTATTGTAAGTCACAAGGTTTTGCATAATATGTTTTTAATATCCAAAATAGCATAATTTCTGATAGTAGTGAGCACTGTCGATATTTGGCCACTGATATGGATACTGAACTGGCTTCCCAGCTCCAGTGTTTGAAACTTTAGCACTTCATTTGGTTGAAATGCTTTAAAAGTCAGTATTTGGGTATTCCTGTTTAAAATCCGTATGACAACTCTATTTGCCTAAGTCATCCGGCGAATTTTATCCCAGCCATACAATACTTGAATCAATTGCATACAATTTACATCAATTTCCCTTTTAGTTGTCCCTTGTCCGCATTCGCAACCCGTGGTAATTTCTGACTGGCGCCATGTTTTATAGCTTTTCTAATTGTAACATACGCACTCGGTGTACTGCGAAAAACGTTGAAAATTTAAGCAATTTCAATGAACATTACAGAGTATTTTAATAAATGATAACTTTTTCACAATTGTCAAATCAGAATACCCCCTATCTTCAAGACAACAACAAAAAATGAAATGAATATTATTCAAAATTCCTTTTTATTAATTATTAAATTTATTGTGAATTCGTCAATCGTGAAACAATATTACAGTAAATAAAATAACAATTTGATGAGGATCTCAACTGTGAGAGATATATTATGCCAAATTTGTATACATGCGATGAAACAAGTAAAAGATTCCTATGATATTCTCCAATATTTTGACATTGCCATAAGCAATAAACTATACTTCTCTACAGAAATTAAAACAAAATTTATTCACAAAACTTAAGACGATAAAACAGTTTCGTTTATTTACAAGCCCATGCTGGTTGTGTGATTGCACAAATACTGATCCCATATTCAACAGAATAAAATAAAAAATAAAATACCATGCATTTATCTCTTACTATATAGATTTTTCGTTGAAGCATAAGAGGGCAATGCATTGATAGTTTATACTGCCTTTTTAAAAATAAAAGAGCCGAATGAAGAGAATAAATTACAATTTTGGTAAATTTGTGTTTCGTAACAACATCAGATTCAAATTGAAATACGGTACTGATTTGACATAGTGCGTCAGTCCTAGGTATAAGCTTCGGACTCTCGTAATTATGGAGAGATTTCCCCACAACATCTCACTTATCAATGGATGTAACAAACTGATGAGATGTAGCGGGTCTCAAAGATTATGCTTTCTTGGCACATTAACTTCAACGTATTGTTTACCCCGAATTTTAGAGAAAAACAAGATAAAAAAATCTCAAATTTTCCAAAGAAAAGAAAGGCTTGGAAACTCTTATTGTTTAAAAATTTCAGCTTGGCAAGATATTTATCAATATATATTGCTTCTTGGGAAGAAAAAATTTTCAATATGTACAAAAATAAGTAAAATATGCTGCAAGTAAAGGCTTTTTGTTCTATCTGAATGCTGAATAAGTAACACAACACATAATAATTAAAACACATAAAATTAAAGTAGACGGAAGAAACCACTGCAAACAATAGAGTCCTTTGTTAAAGGGGAAATTATCTTTTATGCACACTCAGAATGGAAATTTTGAGATATGCAAAATCAGGTTTTAGCTTGGTCAGGTTTTAGCTTGGTTTTAGTTTAGCTATTATATTAAACATAGCGATAGTAGTTCACATGAGTATAGGAACTATTACAGAGTATGAATGTAGTCTCCATTTAATGATTGTACTGCAATGACCAATGATACAATGCCAGAATCTTGGATATTCACTCATAAACCTTACATGAAATTCAACTTATTTCGGCAGTGATATAATATATATAGATAATGGTAAAAAAAATTGTGATGGTATAAACAGTTGATAAATTTGATCTTCGAATTTGTCGTTGTAGGGAATGTTGCAGAGATTTATATTTACAATTTCTAACGATTTCCAATCGCGAAAAAATGTTTGTGTTTAGCTGACTTGACGCTATTATAATTGAACAAAGAGGGCGAAAGGAAGTGATGTCAGTGATACAAAATGCATAGTCGTGATGTCTTTACATCTAAAACTGGTTTCTCCTGAAACCGTTTACAAACAGTCATGAAAGATAAATAAATTAGCATTGTCACGTTTGAGGAGGGGGTGGTTTTCTTACGACCTTTTTTCGCACGGTTCTGGTTCTCGAAAGTTTGGATAAATTTTTGGGTGAATTTTCATCATTTTCTTTTCCTGTAGCTCCATCCGATTTTGGTGAACCTTGTTCTTCATCTGTTGCCTTTTTCTTCTTGACAATTTTTTTGACAACTTTCTTCTTTGGTTTGTCATGTGTGGGTTTTTCTTCAGATGTCTCCTCGATTTCCGCCGCAATAGGCTCCGTGGTATTCAACACTTCCTCAACCAAATTTCCCACAATTGTTTCACCAGATATATCCTGTCCGTTTGTATCTTGTGAAAGCTTAAAATTTTCCTGTTGTGGTGAATATTGTTCTATATTCTCTAATGAGGCAAAATCTTTGGTGGCAATAGATTCAGTCTGTGACTCATGCTTTTCGGGTGGAGCTACAACTTCATCAAGATCTTTTTTGTCTATACTTGGCATCATAGAGTCGTATGTAGCCGACATTGAGCTCAACAAATCTCCCATCTGAGTTTCCAAGTCCGTTTTCGTTTCTTTTTTGTCCCTATTCTCTTTATTTTCATCGACCGACAGGTGTTCCAAGTCGGTGTTCATTTTATTTGTATCTTCGTTATCTTTATTTTTATCCACCTGCTCCGCTATAGCATATGTATCAAAAGCAATAGCTCCGACTGGTTTCACGGTTTCAAACACCGTTACCGTTAAATCTTGGTTAACGCTTCCTTTATCTTCTGTAGCTACATTAGGTTCTTCGACTTGTTGTTTGTTTTCTTTTTCATCAAATAATGCTACATTTTCAACTTTTGATATTTTCGCGATCTGTTCGTCGATTTTTTCTTCGGCGACATAACTTGTGTCAGTTTTGAAGACATCAACAGCTATTGGAACATCCTTAATTTGGTCGAGTACAATTTCAGAAACAGATTCTTCCTTATCATTTTCCTCTTTTGGTACTTCAATTTCGTCGACGTAGTTTAACAAAGGTTTCACAGTTTCTTCTACTATTTCTTTTACATTGTGATCTTGAACAGGGTCTTGATCTGCTAAGTAGGATGTCTGGACATTTTCATGTATCTCTTTAGCAATGGGAGCCATATCAACAACGTCGGGTTTGGAAGATAATTCAGCTATTGGAGTATCAGTCTCTCCGTGGGTATTTTCCTCCACTTGATCCTGCAAAGTCTCCGTTTCTTTGTTCAGGTCTGATTTATCGTGGTCCGGCTTTTCTTCATCTGGCATGCTGAAGAGAGTATTACGGCTGCTATCGTCAGTAATTTTAGGACTTGGTTTTCTTCTTGAACTTCCTTTACGTTTCACGACTCGAATTTTTTTCTTGCCGGTAAGTGGTTCATCTGAGACAGGTTTCTCGCTTTTAGGGCTTCCTTGCGTATCAGCTGAAATGATGTTTTCTTCATTTTTTTCGTCTGGTTTATGCATATCTTTTCCGATGGAATTGTGGAAACTTTCAAATGTAGCACTTGATGAATAGATCTTATCATCATAGGAGACCGGTTCATCTGTAGTCTTGTCTAGTTCTGCAGAATCGTCAGAATTTTTTATTTTGTCGTCGAGTTCCAATGCAACATCGCTGTCGTCAATGACAATAGTTGGTACCTTCTTGACATCCGTATCTATTAATAAAGATTCCTGACTACCAGTCTCAAGGTTCGCCTGTTCGTAGATATACTTTTCGGTCTTGTCAGTGTCAAATTTGACCTCTTTGATCTGTTTTTCTTGCTTAGATGATGTTTTCTTTTTTCGGATCGAAGTTCTCCTAACAGGTGATTTATTTGTTGGAGTGACAATTGCTGTGGGTTTGGTCCCAAACTTTTGGCCCTCATGATCATTCTCAGCAATATGTTCAAACTCTATGAGAAAATGAAAAAAATAGATACAAATTCATATACGTGCGTGGAGCAATAGATGAGATGAGTGTTTCACGTTGAAGTTTCAATTATCTCTGCCAATAGATTTAGAAGAGAAATCGTCTAATTTGATCGTCTAGTCGCTTTCTAACCAATTCACACAAAAGAAATATATATTTTAAATATGAACTTATAATAATAATTACTACTACTGAACTATTTTTTGCGATTCATTTTGAAAAAATATATAGGACTACCTTGCGTACTTTTGGATTCCAATTTTTCTCCGTCGGTGTCATTTGACTTTGTCGTATCTGAAACATAGAAATCGTTTGAATCATTAAGTGCCGTAAAGAAGTGACCGTATTTGATAATTTAAAAAAACTCGTAATTAATTTGTTTTGTTAAATCACTAAGATGTACCATGTTAACAATGCATAGGGTGATCGGTTAGTGGTTAGTGTAAACACAATAATTATGAGATTTGAGACAGACGAATTTATCTGAAACGCGATCGTGAATTACTCAAAATTGGAAGTGAGCAAGTTACTGACTCATGTCATAAATAGCATTGCTATGTAAGTGTTTATTTTAGATGTTTCAAATGAAGAAATAAGATTTAGGTATGGGTCGATAAGTAGTTTTAGAAATTATTTTTTAACGTTGCATCTATTCTAAAAGTGGGCAAGTAAAAAGAGTACGGCGTAAATGAGTTTGTACGATCGGGACCTGTCCCGAAGGGAGAAACATTAGGCTCAAAACAAAAATCACAACGCACAAACAAAATAAGTAGGTCTGGCACAATATGGATCAAGCCAGTCATACAACGGTCAATTTCATCGATTGCTCTGCCTGGTGATTTTAAAGTCATATTTGCGAAGGAAAATCATTTAGGGTGATTTAATATCAATCGAAGATCATTTGCTCTAAGGTAATTATACCTTTGCGCCTAATTGAAGCTCTCACTAGATCTGTTCCTCTTTTTTTAAGCGAGCGCGTAGCTGCTGTCATGTCTGACATCCAGTCTCCTGTTCTGATGTGAATCGACAACCTCTTTTCAGGAATTCTTTCACCTTTGATGGAGCTTTGTAATCTCCTGAATGAAATAGATATAAAAACGATAACAAACGGGGAATTTATGCATTTGAGTAAAACTGCGAATGGTTTTCAATATTCGAAAATGTAATACACATTCTTACAGTCAACCGAACATTAATGAAATAGCTCTGCTTCCATGAAACGATTGAGATAAACTCACGATTTTGTTTTATCTTTACCGTCGTATGAGTCAAATTATGAACCGCGATCCCGGATTAAGAAACAATAGGTAGGTTGTATATTAGTAACTGGTTTGGTGTAATTTTCCAAATACCAAAGAAAGTGAAGCTGCTAGAAAGCGGTAACAGTGTTGAAAATGGGGCTGCTAGTTGGTAACTAAAGATAGTTATAGATAGGGTTTTGTTTTTTTATCAATTCTAAAAAAATATCGTGTTTTAAAACAAGGGCTTGTTTTAAATCAATTTTTTCTGTATTTTTCATTTAGGTGCCCCTTGCATCGCCGCGAAACTAAGCCAAAACGTTGCATACGCTGCCGGAATTATAATTTCAAAAACGTAAGTAACAATTTTTGTTTTGACTTGCGTACATTTTTCGCAACGTTTGTATTTACAACAAAGTTATAAGATTGTAACCGGAATGTCTATCCGAGATACCAGAGAGACGTTTTGAGTAAGAAAAATCATGAAATTTAGCTCACGAGCCTACCACAAAAGCAATTGGATCAAGGACAGTCTTCGACAAAACGAGTGCGTTACGATAATGAAGAATATACTCACATCGGCGGCAATCTACTGATTTTAAACGAGGAGACACCCTAACCTAGGCTTTGCTTATTGCAATAGTCTTCTGATGCAAGGACGCCAGACTAATTTGTTATGACACCTGACACCATAATAAGGATTTTGAATTTATGTATTGACATAAATCAAGGGGCGCACCAGAAGTATGTGCACAATGATGGCGGACACCGGAACGTAGTATGTGTATGTTAGGCCATAATTTTATTCCAATTTTCCTTATTTAAGTTCTATTACGAGTTCGGAGACTAGCTAAGTGACACTCGCAGTAGACATAATTGCGGTTAATACTGTTCATTTTATTTATGCTTAGCATACTTTGTTCCTAAGGTTGAAGTAATTGAATTTTTCCAAAGTTATATAAACTCATTTATTTGATCGCATTTCAATTTTCGCAAGGTGGTTTCGTCGCAGGGTCGTTCGCATAATGGCTCATCGGTTGCGTCTTACTGCGACAACCACGTTTGTGGTCGCACTGAACTACAGCTTGAGAAGGTGTGTATGGGCCTTTATCTATATTTGTGGCGTTTCGAAGGATTTATTGCAAATAAGAAGCGCTTGGCAAGTTTTTACACTCATTTTTCTTCAACCTATTTAATATAAAAAATCAAATAGTACGGCCATTTGAACTAAACAGGCATAAAGAAACTTGTTTTTCAAAACAATTCTTTTTGAACAAATCCCTGGTTATAGACTAATTTATAAGCTGATACGCGTTTGCACCACAATCAATTAACATACCGTCGCCGTGCATCTTCTCGCTTTTGTATCTTTGCATCTCTCTCCAATACTTTTAGAATAAGTTGAACTTCGTCTTCTTGAAGATGTTCTAAATTTATTTCTTGCATACTTGTCGCTCAAATGTTGATACTGCAACACAAAATACATATATATTAGTATAAGAAAGAACATAGCTTATCATGTACAGGCGGCGAGACAGAGCCAGCGATTTTTATTTCCATGGAATAGCTGTGGCAACAGGAAACAACTTTATACGGTCAGTCTTCGTTACATATTTACATAATACCTCACTGAACCGGAATTGACGTCATAATAAGTATTAGGATATCACTTATCAGTGAATCGGTGTTTTTCTTTCTTGGTGCGCATACATACAAATTAGTATAATCATTTACTAATCGGAAATTCGCAGTTGAGTCGTTGAAAAGTTCCCCTTATACTGGTCATTCGTCGTTGATATTTTTTCGACCACATCACACATTGTAGATAACCTGCTTTGTACACTTGCAAACATAATTCCACAAGTGTACAATTACAATTTAAAATGTACATAGCTACGCGTTGCTCCCATTTGCTAATGTAGTATAACTAAAATATCCAATCGTTCGCCTTTACATTCGTAGCATGAATAAAATGTGCCTGTTAATATACTGACCTGATACTGGAACTTGACACTTTGTCGTTAATCGTAATCACATAATTAGCTACGAATACTGTGAAACAAATAGGTTGAGCGTTATACGTTAAAAAAGAACGAGTTTAATGTAATAAAATAAGTTTAAAAATGAATTTAATCAATTCCAGTCGTCCCAATGTATAAAGTATTTGAAACGATCTTGTTCGGGTAAAAGTGTACTACAAACGTCGCCATTTTGCAGAATCACTCATTACGGACTCACGGGTGAATTTGAAGCAAATTGCCAATTATGATATCCTGTTGATCCCTGCTATAAACAAAAATGAACTTCCGTGCAACCACTCTGTAATTCGTTCAGCGTTTTTAATTCTTCCATATCAGTCACGATTACGACAAAATAAAACCTGCCTCTATTTATGTACGCCATATGTAGCGTTGGTATCTGCTGGTCAGGGGACTCTGACAATGTAAGTGTATGGTTTACGGATCTTGAAATATTCGTGCCTCTCTTCCTCGCGTCTGCATTTGAATAAAATGTTTAAATACTCGAAAATAAATGATTGGATGTAGCTTTCGTACTGGGCCGACATCACAGCACACAACTCCAGATCCGAAATTCCTCATTATAATTATGCCGTCCGACGTCCACGACTCCCTGCCCCGTATCATGCTGAAACTGTTGTTAAAACTACGCAACAGTTTTTATGTAGATATATTCAATTGTTTCTAAAACCAACACACATAGCTTGTGAAGAATTCCCCTGTTCACCAAGCACAGTATTCCTACGTTATATCCTGTTCTACCGCCTACATAGAAAACAGCTGTGCATGCGAAGTGTAAGAAAACACAGCAGAATATGCAATGTATTATATGATATTGGAGCGGCAGGAAGACAATATAATCGTGGCTCTCACATCCTGACTAAGCTTCTGTAGCGTGATATGACCCGCCAATTTACAGTGTTCCCATAATGGGGATCTATAATTTATATTATCAGATTTTATTTATTCTAGACTTAAAAATTCACACAGTTTATTTGTTACATTAATCAATTATCAAAGTTTGATAGTAAACTTCTTATCGTTCAATTTACCTAATCCTTTCAGCCCATATTTTACCTGGGAACACTCATAGGAACTCTGATATATTTCAGTGCTACATCAAACGATTTGAGTCATCTCCATGGATAAGCTGATTAAAATCAGTAGCCCGGTCTATCAAACAGTTGGGTTGGTAACAATTAGACAAATGATATTTCAGCCCATCATAAGTTACTTGCTTGGACAACGTTGAATACGCGGAAAAAATCTCGATATGAAACTATCATTCATCTCCTTTCGTTGTGCATATATGCATATATTTTGGCGGCTATCGCTCGTGCTGTTCTGTACCGATCTTTTACTAGTCTGTTAGAGAGTTCTATGGGTTGGCATTTCTGTATAAGCATCTACAATTTCAAAAGGTTTTCTCACGCCTGCAACACGAACAAATTTCTAGCCAAAGGAAACGATCAGCCGAGGTTAAATTCTGTTTCTAATTCAATTCTAGATTAACCGTTCTGGTGTGTGTTTTAGTAACCTACCACACTATTAGTAATTAATTACCTAGAATTTAGATAATTGATTGATGTCATTGACGTACTTGACTATGTTCATACTTTTTGTGATATTACTATCTTGTCTGGTAGTGCTGTGGAGTCAGTAGGGGACAGTTTACATTGGACTCCTGAACTCGCGTTGAATAAAAATTTGACCTGTATATACGGTAATTTCGTCTCAGACTCCAGGTTTAAAAAAATCCAAATTTGTTTCTGTAGAAAATTTTGATGTTTTTATTGCCATTGAAATTCTGCAATTCCGGCTCCTGACTCCGGTCAATTCAGAATTTGAATTTGAACTTTGAAAATACAAAGCCGGTGAAAGCAGACCAAACTTCGGCTTCGACTTCAAAGTCCTACAATGTCTAGATCGAGTTGTCACATAAAGGAATTGAATTAACAAGTGATTTTATGTTTGAGGGTGTCGGTGCATGACTGAAAAAAAATCAAAGTAGTTTAGTCTTCGATTATGGAATAAAAAAGGAATTACCGGCATCATAAAAAGTATAAAAAGTGCAAACATTGTTCCGTATCTCAAAAACGAAAAATAATATTGCCGGAAGAGAGAAAAGGTTCCTTAATTCCCGATGGGAGGCGGATTTTTTTTAGATAATAACTTCATATTTTCGGCGGATTTCAGTCAGTTAATGCAAAACGAATTTTGTCGTCAAATGCTATAGTTGGGCATTTGAATTATCGTTTGCTATGACACGAATGAAACTCATTCATCAAATTTCTTCAAAATCTTAACATTTCATCAAAGTTTTTATGTAAATGAGATATATATATATACGTCAAGATAAACCTAGCTCAACAGCAAAGGCAGGTAAGTTACTACTTCTGATATAACAAACGAATACCCAATCGTTGTAACCATACAGACACTGCACATTTCTACCGTAAGGCGATTCGACGCCAATTACAAAAGTGCCGGTTGAGGAAAACGTACCCCAACTAGTATCGCTTTTGCTGCACCAAAATACGCTGACTGCTGCAAAAGGAGGAAATTTACATTAGCACCATGTTTGACATTTTGGTGTGAATGAGACATTCTCTAAACTTCGACTCTGTTGTTCGCAGCCTAGCTCATAAGTGATTATTTTTACATACCAAATAATATAAAATGGCCTACGATCAGATCGGTTATTGAAAATGTATTGTTCTGCATTTTCAAGCTTCATTAAACACCCAAATTGATAAGAATAAACAGTCGATAAACCGATCCAATCATCTGGCCGACCACATCCTCTCACTCAGGTATACTGTTTAAACACCAGGATAACAAGAGATAATAAAAAATTGAGCTGAAGATTTGAAATAAAACTGCAGCCGCAGGTTGGAACAGCAATACACGACCGAAGTCAAATTGTTCGGAGGATGCTTCGATCACGTTGCGCTAAATCAGTGTTTCCCAAACTTTTTTTCGCAAACGATATATTTCTCCGTTGCCTATTTTGGACGTCTTTATTCCTCCCCCACCAAACAGAAAATTCCGTTATTTGATCAATACGTAATGAGTCCTAAGAATGCTACGCATAACTCGCACCTAATATTTCTATAACTACTAAATATCTAAACAATATTGTAAAACCGACTCCAAACTCCCTCCCAACAACATTAAAATTCCTCCCTGGTTGGGGAAACGTTCGTCAGTTAAGCAGCCAGCAGTTGTACGCCAGGGATGGCCAATTCGAATAAGGTATTCGAATGTATTCGAATATCTCGTCATTCGAATATCGGAATTCACGTTCATAAGAATATCGGATATTTATGTGACGTCACACATTTTCGACGCCGCTTTCAAGACGTTTCCGTTGAATGAAAACATTCTCGATAGAAACTTGCGCGTGATTGTTTTCATCACTCATCAGCGTAACGTGTTATTTAGGCCGTAAACGCCTTTACGATTGTGTTATTTTCTCTAAAACGAAAATTTTCCACAAATTTGTTCCACGATAACGATAACATTTATTTTATTTTTGTACGCGCACGGAATTGTGAATCTGGTAAATACGTTCATTGGCGGCGAGTTTCTAAAGACAACGCAACTTTTTGATTGAAAAGCGGCAATTTAAAATACCGAAAATAAAATTGTAAACAATATAAGTTTTATTGAGGCCCGCAAAAAACGCTTTTCTAGGCAGTGAAAATCGCAAAATTTCGTGTGCCTCTGGCACACATTATGTTTGGTCGGCGTTTAGAAACATATCTTCACTAATTGAGGGCGTGATTTGCCTGATTATTCATTACTTTAAATTGCCGTCGAATATTTTCGTGTTAACACGATACAAGGTTTGAAACGTGACTTTTTCCCGGGTTGTGAGGATGTATATAATATAATTAATCTAAAGTATATTCAATCAATTTTATTGTAATGAAATAAATTTTACTCTGAGATATTACTGCATATTTATGGATTTTTCGAACGGTTTTATCTAAAAATAATCAGAGTGGCAGCATTTCGATCGAGCGGAGTCACTGTTAACAAGTACATCTAAATATTTGCCCAATTCGCAAAATACGGATCAAAACAATATTTAATCGGACAGTTTACCTCACGTTTTCATTTCTATAACCGCGGATTGCAATGGTATATAAGAGTGGTGAGGATTTTATTCTGTCGACGCAACCGCAGGTTAAATTGAAGACAATTAAATTAATGAAGCAAGACATTTTAAATACGCGTGTCGGACACGAATTCATCACTTTGCACAACAGAAAAATATATATTCGTTGTTATATTATTTGTTGTAAAAGTCGACTCTTTTAACAGGTGGCATAATCGCGGCGATAAATATGTATTTTTAATTCACTGCTAAACTTTATATGTATATTCATTGTATGAAATGAATTATACTCTACACTTAACGGGATTTTATATAATTATTTGAGATTTTTCTAACGGCGATAACGAGTTGGCAAGATTGCAAAAATACGTATTGAAATTAAATACATCAGGCAGTTTATTTCCTAATTTTAGGTCACAGATCGCCGTGGACCGAATAGTAATGTTTTTTTTTTGACGTAAGAAGAAGCAACCGCGAGTTACGTTGGACACATTAAATTAATATATAAAGATATTTTAGAATCTCGTAGTTGTCATGGATTGAATATTTTACGTAACAGAATGATCATTATACGCTGAAAAGACGACTCTTTTAACGAGCGCGAAATCGCGGTGGGTGTTGCAGGCGGCAATGGGAATTTCCGATTTCGAAAGTCCTGGCTGCGCGCTGGGGGTGGTGGTGATCTATTCTCTACTAATTTATTTCTAATTCCAAACACAACAATATGTTACACATAATAACAATATGGTTCACATAAATTAATATACAAACATACTGGTAGGTAGTAGAATACCTCAGGCTTAAATATTAGAGTTTTTAAAGGCATAATGGATTTTCGATTGTTGTTGCCTGTATTGCCAATAAATTTTTATTACTCTCAGAAAATATACACAATTATCTGAATACAAGTAGTATTTTTGTCAAGAGACTTGACTATTTTATCGTAATATCATGGTACCAATGATAGAAAGCGTCAGACAACTCCTTGGCTATCTTTTCATATGGTCATTTGTACAAAGTGAATAATTTTAATCAACTAAAACAAAAATGTGTTATTTTCGATTTTAGAATGTATTCGGAATTCCAGATTCGAAAACATTATTTTAGAATGTATTCGGAATAGTTTAGTATTCGGAAATGGCCATCCCTGGTTGTACCAATAGTAGTAGCGCATTGAATTCCTATTATTTATTAGAATGATAGAAATGACAAAGCCAAAACCAGGAATTCAACTGAAACATTTTATTTATATCAACAAATGTGTACAAAGTTACATAAAACGACTAATAGCAGCTAAACATGATGGCAGTGGCAAGGGTTTCTCAAAATCCATAAAACCCAATTAGTAAGTTATGATTGTGTGGAAAACTGAAGCATGATAAAACAATCGGAATTTGGCACCCAAAAAAAAAAAAAAAAAAAAATAACACCGAAAAAAGGTATTCACAAGAATATGCTTCAATTTAGACATTCTATCGTTTTTGCCAGTCCATCAATAACTCAATACATGTGTGACAAAAAACATGAATGGTGAAAGCAATCAATAATTACAGATTCCTCTATTTAGCTCAGCATTATCCCACATGAAAAATATATTACAAATGAAAAGGCAGTGGTCAAAGTTCAGCACTGGGAAAAAAGAAGAAACAGCAGCAGTTAAAATAAGAAAATATTGTGTTATCTTTACTCCAGCATGTAGCACAGAAACAATCTGGCGATAAGTCATAGCGCAAATCAATTAGATTTAATTGAATTTAAACATTTACAAAAGTAATTCTGGACTTGGCTGCATTGAGTTGCCACACATTGAGAGCCTCATATTCTTCCACCGCTTCTTCAAACTGATCTGGAGTAAAACCTTTGGCAACGCATCTCTGCTTGGCTTCGGTCAATCGCACCATCGGAACGCCGGTATCAGGAGCCATCTCACGAATGATTTGATAGATGAGGTCTGTAGGTCGTTGTTGTCTAAAATATAGATTTGTTACTATTAAATAAACCAAACAAGCAAAATCAATTTCTGATCACTTAGATTAATTCAAATTTATAGAATTGAGTTGTATATAGTATAATCAAAATATAATACGGTCCTAATTTTACCAATTAAGGCCCATTGATTACAAATAAAAAAAATATAGATAAAAATAGGACCTCCAGAAGTATGCGCACCAAGATGGCGCACAACCTGAACATAGTATGTGTGTACCGGTTAGGATTCAGGTTTTGCGACAAGATAAAAATTTTTTAAGTTCCAGTTCGTTTAAGGTCGGTAATGTATTACATAAAACTGTGGATGTGTGCAAAAGATGAAGTCATAGAAATCTGATGAAGTTCAAAGAAAAATGTTTGTGTAAATCATGTATGCATAAGACTAAGAGAACGTTGTTATGCCATTTACATATGCTAAAAAATTGTGGAGATTTTACATATTGCACTACGTAAACATATATATTAAAACTATTTACCTTTGTTGTCCATCAGTACCAGGATTAAGTGAGTCTTTGGACATTTCCATTAATCTCATGGCCTCATTCACATCATCTTTTTCAACAACATCTGCCAAACGTAAACGAGCCTAAAAAATAGTTGAGTTCAATTCAGTATAATTTTCACAAAACCAAGGTTCAATTAATCAATTTTCAATATCAAAACCTTAAAAAATGCTTTCAGAATCAGAGCTATATGATAAATAATAAAACTAAGCTATCATTATTAATATTGAATATTGTGGTTTCTGGAAAAAATCTGGGTTAGCGACAGAGTTGGAGACACTAACATACATAAAATAAACTACTGTTTTGAAAGGTATATTCTCGTTACAAGCGTGTGCGAGAAGGTACGCCAAAATTAAACTACCATTCTGAATACATTTTGAAATATCATTACAGATTATAAAACCTTGTACGTTAGTTCATTCTCAAACAGAAATTTTTTATGTGACCATTGGTTGTCAAATGCATAAAAGGGAAAATTCCAGATAGAAATTAAAAGTATTTTTAAAGTTGAGAATTTTTTACTATCTCAAATATGAACAATCTGAATAATTAGACTGATTAGGGGCATTCTTGTTGGGTGCTGAAGTAAATCATGAATGATAATTCATCTGAGACAAATAATCCCATTTCAAACCTACCCATGAGCTGACTATAATAAATACATAGAAGGCATTGTTGATTGCTGACACATTCTGGAAGATCAATAACAGTGCAATGCAGGTGAATATATTGAGACTTGAATGTATTGCAACTGATAATGACCAACCAGCAAGTGCAAGAAATGTAAGCTATATACATAATATGTATGCTTCATGGATACTTAAGGATGTGAAATCAAACTCTCGCAAATACCATGATCCTACATGTATGAAATCAATCCCACTTCATACGTTTACTCCAGCTATCTATAACACATTGTCCCTTCTAATATCTTTGAAACCTTGTAATCATATCCCTTAGAGTATGCATATGAACTCTTTAACGGATCGATAGTACATACCTCTGTCTTTATTTCGTAAATTTTGAATATTCATCACAATAATACAAAATATGTAAAGAACATTGCGTAATACTACACAGGGTAGAATTGCTCCTCGCGAAACAACAAATTTCTTCACAGGTTAGAAAAATGGTCGTCTGAAGTGTTATGTCAATACCATCCTACATGCTACAACAGTGGTACCAGTGTGAGACCCAACACTTTTGACACAGCATAACTATAACACTGCCTACTTTGATAATGTGTATGTGTTGATCACAGATCAGTCTAGGGAAGTGCAATAATGTCAATATAGCACGTTGATCAGTGCACAATCCAAGACCAATATGTAAACTCAACTTTTGAGTAATAGAATCTGATGTTTATATCTCGATTGGAAATGGATGCTGAAACTGAGCATAATTTTGAAGGCCGGGACAAGTGCAATACAGATATTATTAGCTACTTGAATTACAATTTATCCCAACCTTCAAAACGGTGCTCTATTATTTTTTCAATAACTTCATTCATTATAACTCCATAGACACTCTGTCTAATTCTTGTCTCATCTTATTATAAAAATTTCCAGGAAATTATATACTGTTAAAAATTAGAACCCTGTTACCATCTTAATTCTCCCAGAAGAAATTCAGTACTGTAAAATACTGTTTCACCTAGTGTTTTCCCTGACAGTGTTAACTTGAATTATTCAAATACTGTCAGCCAGTTTCTTGTAGAAATTCTATCATTAAAATAGGCCCTCTATTAGCTGTAATTGCTGCACCAATATTCATTTATAATTGGAGCTTGCAACCTTGTATTAACTTTGTTAAATATAAATATTTCTACTCTTTCAATATCTAATACATACCAAAGCAGTAGCGAGTCGTAAGATGGAGAGAAGAGTACGAGCGGAGGTGAAGGTTGCATCTTTACTGGCTCGAGCTTCCTTTCGTAGTTCAACGTATGCAGCAGTGATGTAGTCTGTCAATTCTTGAGGTATAACAGGATTCTTTTTCTGACAGAGGGCAATGTAACGTCTGAAAACATATAATTAGTAAGGACGGGGGTTGCAAAGGTCAGTTGGCGTTGACTGACATTAATTTTAGGCTTTTTAAATAAATAATTCGTCCTTGTTGAGATTTTCAGTTCCGCAAGTGATAATGTACATTAGGTAGGATTCAATGCATAAAAATTGGAAGAGTTCATGTACCACATATGAAGGTTAAATATTTTGAAAGCAGTCCATTATCAAGAAATACTCTAAAAAAAAACTTTCTTGGACAATATAATAAATCCAATTAAGAAATTTCATTGAAATGACAACTAAACCATTTAAACAATGAAACCAATTTAGGAAACTGATCCATAAATACATTCATTTCATTTAGATACCAATATGCAATATCATATAATCTGCTCTAAAGCTCTCACCTCATCAATTTCATGTCAATAGGAGTAAACTGGATAGGAGGATGAGTGCTGTGTTGATGCACATAAGTAATATGTTGAGCAAGCCTAAAAAGAAGGATACAAAATTTTAGTAAAATCAACAAAAATGTGTATATCGAAAATTTCAAATCATAAACGGTCAAATTTGCACGCAAGATGTCAGAAATAAAAACTCCTTGAATATGAAAAGATTTAAAATCATTGATAAACTATAGTTTATAGGTGCAGTAGCCTAGTGGTTCAGGCGTACACCCATTTGTTCATATATAAATTTAAAAATACCTCAAATCATTTTCTCTGTCAGGTTTATCTTGAATGAGCCACAAAACATCAAATCTTGACAAAAGAGCTGCTGGTAGTTGGATATTATGTTCGATAGACTTCTTTGGATTGTATCTTCCATATGCTGGATTAGCAGCCGCCAAGATTGAAACTCTTGCATTCAACGAAGTCATGATGCCAGCCTATTTAAGTATATAGTTGATAGAGCACCTTGGATATATGATTTCTTCAATTTATCAACTTTATATGGCTTCTACGTAGTTATGAGACTCAGTCATATCTGAGTGCCATATTGTGACCTCTTATATAAAACGTTATTATTAAATCTATCACAGTCAAGTTGTCTTTGAATGATACCGATAGAAAATAGTTTCCTGTCACGGCAGTTGCTTTTGAAAGATATCAACACCGTTTAAATTCAACTTCCATGACCATGAGAGTGAAGAGTTACAAATTCAAAAAGCAATATCAAGTTTTGAGTTACTTAAAATAGTCTTTCTCAGATTACAATATCCATTCATTGGAATTGATATTTAGATTGAGAAAAGAGAAGTTTTATACCTTTGCAATAGATATAGTCTGTTGTTCCATAACTTCATGAATAGCAGTTCTATCACCATCCATCATTTTATCGAACTCATCGATGCAACAAACACCTTGATCAGCTAAAACCAATGCTCCGCCTTCCAATATCATTTCATTTGTAAGTGGATCCTGCAGAAAGGTAGATCTTGAATAATTGATTGAAAATGAGGTGATAAAAATGATATAAAATGAGTTGTTATGTAAAACATCAGACTGACAAAGAGTATTTTCATTCCTAAACTGTCAAATTCGGCCAATGATCCTATCTATGTTCAAGGGATGGCGAAGAAGACTAAATATTCAAATTGACTTCAAATTAAATATTTTAGATATTTCAAATTCTATATTTTAGTAATATATCAGGACAGTTTCATTTGAAATATTAACAATTTGAGCAATTGAAGTCTCACAGAATGTTCAAAATAGCCTCTATTGACTTATACATGTTTTTGTTGAATGTTATCCAATTTGGAATACGTTAGTGTATATAGATTTATTTCAGAGTAGTCAGATTATGTTCAGGTTGAATAAAGAAAGCAAACAATGTAAAAAATAAACTGTTGGCCTCACCTTCAACACAGCTGCAGTTAAGCCAACACCAGAAGAACCTCTGCCTGTGGTATACTGACTACGAGGAGCAAGTCTATCTATGTATGACAGCAATTGCGATTTCGCAACACCGGGATCACCCATAAGACATACATTGATATTGCCACGAATTTTCATTCCTTAAATCAGAATAGTAAAATAAAATATTTTGAAAATGGAAAACAGCGCTGGATTTTTAATTCTATTCTAAATAATTATTAGTCTAAATTTTTTTCTCAATTTCGAATAAAAAATTCTCACCCTTTGAATTTTTGTCCACCCCACCAACAAGTAACAGCAGCAATACTTTCTTGATATCTTCATGTCCATAAATTTCTGGAGAAAGTGACAATGCAAGTTTGTCATAGAAGTCTTCCTCTGTCAATACAGAAAATAGGTATTGTATATGAATGGCCCAAACTAAGATTACCGAACACACTTTCTTGTATTTTAAAGGTTCACAAAGTAATATCAAATGCAAAGACTGCAAGAAGTACAAACTGAAAGGGATGACGTTTAAAAGTTGGGCACAAGTAACATTGAAACGGCAATGTCGAAAATGTAATACACAGTTATAGCAATTAGCAAAAGTCAACATAATAAAAAAATTTAGATATCATATTATAACACTAATGAAGGATTTAGAAGTAAATAAGATTAAAATAAATTTTGACTCGGCAACTACAAAAATAAACCAATAGAGTATATCTGAATAAAAAAAATTTAAACTTTAGGATCGTAACACCGGAATATAGAAATGTGTCTAAAAAAAAATTTTTGACCTAATTAATAGAAAAATAAACTAAATTTTATAGCCTATGCTATGCTTTCACACTATCAATAAAAAAGAAAATCAGTGCTTTCCTATACAAGTTAAAAAATATGATATTATAAATTTAGAATCATGCTCTTTTTTATGCCATTTTGGAAATTCAAATGCCAATTCAAAAACGATATGTTTTATGTTAGCAGTACCCATGTGCAGTCAAGAATTTCCTTTAATTTTTCTACATTTTTGAATAGTATGAAAAGCCCACGCTCTATGATTCAGTTCATATATCTCAACAAAGATCATTCTAGATATGAATTATTGAATAAACCCTTTCTAAAACCTAAACCCTTTGGCCATCCCTTGGTCAATATTGAATTTTCATATATATTTGTACATAAAAGACAGCAAACATCTTTATCGAGAGCGATGTTGACACAAGTAAATCATTGAGAGTTTATTAATGAAACGTGAAATTTTGGCGGGTAGAGAGGTGTAAGCCAATCAAGTGACTGAAACTAAAAGAGAAAAGGCATGAATAGAAATCTATTTACCTTCTTGGGAATAGCGAATTTTTTTCAAGAAAAACATAATTCTCGACACAAATAAACTAAGTAATTTCGGTAATTTCGTTGTGAAAATACTAATTTTGATCGTTTATTATTGCTGTATATGAGGAAGACCTCACAAGCAGAATCAAAAACATTGAAATAATAACAAACGACGAATTATCTTTTATTTCACTATTCAAGTGCCCTTATTCCTTCATAATTAGTCACAAATTATACAGTATTTGCCATCCAAAGCCAAAATAAGGAACCATAGTGTAGGGTTACACAGTATTATCCCAGGGTTGCTGTCAATGGAACCAAATCCACCCATCTTGGGTAACGAGCCTGATAAGAATTCTCTTTTTATGGATGATTTTTATCATAACTAAGTACAGTTTGGCATAGACATTTCAAAATACCATCAGCGCAACGTTTAGATCAAATGATGCTCTATACTAGGGAAACTACTACTATAATTAAAGTATAGAAAAATTAAAACTATGTGAAAAATGTTTAAAAAAAACATACGACTAATTTGTTCCAGTTCGTCCTCAGTCATTTCACCGACATCCTGTTCATCATCTTGAGTTTTGTTCATTTTGATCACTCTCTAAATATTCAATTTAAATGTTCAAATTTCTTCAAAAACACAAAAATGATGCTTAACAAATCGAACATGCGAATGATTGTTTATTAATTCAAATCGATGGCTTTCTACTACTATAACTACACCGAACACAAAGTAATATTTCGGAATTATCTCGTCGAAAACAACAAAATCCCTCCCTTGTTGGGAAACGCTTCTTTGAATGTTTATTATATAAAATAAAAAGATACAAGCGTAAAAATTACTAACATGTCCTTCCATATAGGTATCAGTTAGCAATCCTTGCTGCATTTGTCTGAATCCTGTTCTTAGCATTGGTAGGAAAACTCCTGTGATGCTGATGTGATCACCAGGTACAGCAGCACGAGTGGTTTCCCCTCTGCAATATACTGTCATTGCTCGAGGAATATTACCAGTTGGAACTTGGTCGCTCTAAAAATGAGAATGCTTCATTACTTCTGAGTCCACTTTTCCATCTTTTTTTTTTAACATTTTTGTCAACGATGACATTAGAATGGAGAATAAGAATCACCCAACCCCAAACAGGAGACTACTCAAGCAGAAAAAGTTAAATATATAATGATGGGTCGTTCTAACTGCGTCAGATTCATCATTATTAGGGCATTATACGCCTTCCAGGTACTGCTGAAATTAGGCAACGTTCAAAAAATATTTTTTCGAGGTAGCTCTTATTCACGTCTGAAACGAGATACTGGCAAAATGTGATAACTTCATTCGTTTCTTCAATTATGTTCTAAATAATTCTAAATTGTGCATGAAACTAACACCATATAGCCTATATATAACATTAAAAAAAATAAAACGAGTAGCAACAGATACAAAACTAAAAATAATACTTTTGTTACACAAAATTGCTTTATTTGAGAATTTTTATCTTGAATTCTTTTCGAGTTACTAATGGATATATTGTCAAAATCTATTAATAAATTTACCACAAAAAAGTCCTAATGTTTATCAAGAACAAGCAATTGCCATCAAATATCGTAACGAAGTTATAATTAAAGTAAAATAAAACTAAATTTACTTTCTAACATAAATAAATAGGATGAATCTGCAAAAAGTAATGAAAAAATAGAATGTCATGTCTGCAAAGTTGTCTCAAGTGGTTTGTAAAAATAAACGAACAGGTTTCGTCAAACATGCCATCTATAATACCCTCAGGGGTGAAGAAATAAAATTCTGACAATTTTTTTCTCTCAAAGAATCATTAGAAAAAAATAACCCACATGTTCTTGAATTTTGATTTCCTGAAATTTGATGAATTTTGACCCTCTGTTTTGCAGATAGAGACGTCCTCCGCTGCGATTAGTTTGGCATTCCTCACTGGGGCAAAGAAGCAATGGCATAAAAGAGGGAGAAGCAATCTGAATGTGAAGAATATAATTCATCCATTGACAAATCGCATAGTTGCACCCTTAGGCATCTGTAAACCCTCGAAATTTCACAAAAAATTCAGATGATAAAAATGTGTGCAAATCTCCTGCGGTTGCATATTTTGGCTTTATTAAAGTTGCCTGGCCACAATGCCACATTTATCACTCTTTTTAAACCAAAAAATATCAGTCAATTTGATCAGAATAGTTCGAGTATGTTTTGAGCAACTTGTTTGAAGCTTTGTTTAGAGTGAATGCGAGTCTAGTGTAGATACCCCAGACCAATTTCTTTCTTCTTTCAAATCGAATCTGTGTTAAACTGAACGCTGTCGTAAATGCAGTTTCAAATTATTCTTTTGTGTCCCAAAAACCTGTATATTATAGGTATCGGGAAATTTGAAGGTCTGTGTAGTGATTAAACTAAGCGAAATGAATATTACCGGTACTCAGAAAAATCCAGATTTCAGCAATTTAAATTTTCCACTTCTGGTTTAATATTACATTTTGTTAAGACATATCTATACATTAAAATATCTCTGCATTACTGAAAGTAATCAATAAAAATAAAAAAAAACGTGGCAGGATAATTGAAAAATGGGATGTTGTATGAATCAATGTGTCAATTTTTCTACCACCCTGATCTGATTATATCAGATACAGGTGACATTTAACAACATTATTTAATTTTCTGGTTGCAAAGTTTCAACACCAAAATAAGCTGTTGATATAATAAAACTGTGCCGAAGATGTTATCAAGAATTGTGGTTTAAGAAAGATCACACTAGACAGCTTGCAACTAATGTATTGTGTAAAGTAAACGTTAATAATTTACTTAGTTTAAGCAAGCGAAGAATGCGATGGGTATGGTAGCGATCAAAAACAAATCGCCAGTGCGACTAGATAATTGATAATTAAAATACACAGCATTACAAATGTAAAAGAATCTTAAGATCTTACCGGTTGATAAGTCTCTCCTCCACATCTATCGCATGTGTATGTTGCAACAGACATCATAGGCTTGACTTCAGTTGCTCTGATAACAATACCACGAACCACTGTTAATTTTCCGATATTCTGAGCTTTCACATCACGAATTGGCATAGCTTTTTGGGCAGTCGGAGCTTTAAAATACACCTGAATGAACAAGAATACAGATTATACATTGCTGAGGTTAAATTGAAGTTTGAAATGCTGACAGTTTGACTCGCAATATTGATAAACGAGATAAAAAACACGAAAACATAAAAATATATAGTGCCGTATCCTTGAAGAGATATTTGAATGAGATGCTATCATACTTGGAATGAAATCTATTTTAATTTTGGATTTTCAAAAGTACACAAAAAACAAACAAAATAAGTTGTGACAGATTTATTAGTATCTATCCTATTGGATCAAAAATGAAATTTTGGTCTTCTCAGGCGAAATGTGCATTTTATTTTGAATTTATCAAATCTTAAGCCACTTCACCAAGATATTCCATCAGCTTTAAGTCCTGTCCAAATTATATTTTGATGAAGAAAACAATATAAACTATGACCAATAATGTGAATGTCAGTATATCCCTATATTGTGGGGTTAGGATTTCAACCCTTCAAATTATGAATTATGTCTAATCTACATTGAAAATTTCACTAGTATTGGCCATCTTCAATTGCTAATATTCACCTCGAATCTGCGCATTAACTCAGCGGGATATTTATTCTTCCAATCGCGGACTTCTGCCGGATCGTTATGAAGTCTCTGCTCCATAAGCATCCGGTGTTCAATGTACACATCCAATGCATCTTTGAACGTAACCTGGATTAATAAAGAACGTGATACGTGAGTTAGAACATTGAATTTTAATTTCAAGTCGAAAATTGCAAACGAAATGTAAGCATATATGGAATAATATTTTTCATTGAGCATTTAATCCTATTCTATTACGGCCTGGTTATGTGAACTGCAGGGAAGCTATCAAAAAACTTCACCTCTCTTTCCTTGTAATCGGGTAGCAATTCATCGATGGCATCTGCAAATATTCTTTGATATCGAAGCGTATTTTCAATAATACTTTCTGCCAATTCTGGATCATATTCAGCAATATCATCTAAATCTATCGTAACTTCAACTCTTTCACGATGCGCGACTTCAGTCTAGAATACACGAAGACATTCCCATATATTATATTAAATCTTGCTTAAAAAGAATTGATGATTTTGAAATGATAGGAAAACGCCCAATCATAATCTCATATCAAGATGTAAAGATAGACTTATCATAAACAATCTAATATAAAGGAGGAACATGGAAAATTGCATCAATATTGCATTATTAATAATAATAAACCCTCGGGGTAGGTTCAAAAGTGTAACATGATCAAATCTGATCAAAGCAAGTTGACTTCTGCATAGAAGGTACAATAATAATAAATTCCACATTTCAGTGCTTACTCAAATGCTGTATAGAGAATAAAATTCACATTAACAGGAGTTGAATACAAAAGCAACATTTTAAAATAGTTTTAGCGGGTGGAATTAAATGCATCAACACAACATTTAAAAAGATGACTATGCACTCCATCCCTGTTATCCATCACCTCACAAATTTGTTCACATAAAGAACAGCAGCTAACAACCATCAACGTTACAACTTGAAATGAACATTACTTTAATATAGGGAACTTTGCTGTCAGAATGCGCATGCAGTAGGATGAGTTGGAATAGATAAATAGATGAAGTAGATGTCTATTGAATATATGAATTTATGTGGGCACGCTCAAAGTTCAATGTGATTTAGTGTGAAACTGGTGAGCCTTTTGCAATCTATTTTCAAATAGGTTCACCCCACAGAGACGCATATTATATGTAGCCTATGAACTAGGTATTGACGCCAAGGCGGTACTGCAAACTTTTTGCAAACGTAAACGCAGCGTCATGTTTAGTTTAGTTCCAGCTACTAAGTAAACAAAATAATAATAGTAACCTTCTGATATCTTCCATAAATAAGAATAACCAAGAGAGCAGAATCCGTGCGCTACGAGCGTATAAGACAAAACAGCATCTCACAAAATATTTCCCGCCAGAAAATCTTCCGCAATAATTTGAAACTCTCAAAGAAACGCGAATCCATTTCAAGTGGTGCTTGTAAACTAGCGCACGCCACAATGCTGAAGCGCCAAATGTTCAGAGATCATCGCTTTTGTTAAATTCTCAATAGACGCAGAGTTTTCTTTTCCTTCCGTCTAAGAATAGTAAGGGTATGCCAAACCCTGGCGAAACACTCTCCGTTTGGCAGAGTGTAGTCACTCGTGACCGACACAAAGCCTGTGACGATACTTTAAGAAAAATACAAACAATGGATGTCCGAGGCAAAACGTTGACGAGAATGAATAGATAAACACATTCCCTAAATACGAAACAACTACTCGCAAGTCATAATACATTTAACGGCAACGGAACTTCCATACGACAATGGTGAACTGCTTTAAAAAGTGCAGAAAAAGTTGAAGACAAGCAAGCGGTGTTACTTATTATTGATCGTAATAAAAAAGCTGCGTTAAAATATAGATGATTGATTATTTACATTGACTCCAAATATCGTTTAAAACTTCGAAACGTGGATTTGAATGCGTGCCCAAAGTGGAATGAAGATAAAGAATGAATCATTATCTAACGGACGAAAATGCCCGAGCATTCCGCGAAAGTACGATTTATACCGAGTGAAATATGGTATCAATCATCGATGTGAATTTCTAACAAAATGCTAGAATATATACGAAAGTTATTATAAACGAGGACAATAAATAAATATGCGTTTCAAATTGAATAGCATATAGCGTATCGCCGATTCACTACACCAGCGTCCAAGTACGACACACAGCGACACGCTCGACCTAAATAACGGAAAACCGCTAACAAATGGAGTGTGAAAGTGTGTCATCCAACAAAAATTCAATTATACGAGTTAGCACTGGACAAACGATATCTATACTTAAATCCACGATACGATGTATCGCTTTCCGTCGCAATGAATACAAAATGTGGAGTACCGCTTTTCTTCCCAACATTTTCATTCATTATCCGTATGTGTGTGTGTGAATCATTCGTCTTCGCCACTATTACTATATTTGTTACGTCAAATCAAGTTTTATAATTCTTGTAATTTGACATTGCCGAGATAAGTGTAACGCCGAGAGACACAGGCCTTCGTAGTAATGATCATTGCGCCCTTGGGCATCAAACGAGATTAATGCAAAAATATGTATGTCCGGCGAGTACGTGAAAGACATATAATTGGCGATGGTCAAATTCCAAAATATTTCGAGTTCGCTTATATGTGCATAAATTACTGGGTTGACAATGTCGGTAACAAACAAATGACATGTCGGCCGGAAACGGCCATTCGCTAGAAAGTATCCGATATTTGGAGATGAAATGTGATTACGACGAGTTATATTTTTCGTCGTCGCGATTCTTGCTGGTTCGACATTTAACTTATTTATTAGATGGCCGTCTACGTTCATTGATAAAATAGACATTATCACCTACGTGACTAGTACGTATATACTTTCTCATTACTGAAAGTTGCGATTTTCAAATACCTAAGTATATTATCAGACACGATGATTTCACATGGGATTGAGTTAACTGATTGTCCTATCAGGCATGAATATTCATTTAATCAAGACAGTCGTAAGGACACCGAAACAAAGGGGCGGCCGCTGATTTGGGACTTCATTTTGTTTGAAATAAGCGAGCGAAAATATCTTCGGCGAACCTAAAATTATTTTTAAATGAATTTAATAATGATGAAATAAATAACTTTTTGGACCACGCTAAAATATATTCGAGCAAACCATTATTCATATCAAATTGAACGTAAGATTTAGCCTGTTCTCTTCTTTTTTCAAAAACGTTTGATGTCTTGTCTTACACACCGCCTTGTAATAGCGTCTGTGTAATATCATTTCAATAGTAGAATAATACAAGAACCAGACTTCATAAAAATTTCATAGGCTTTGGCAACAACGTATGTGTTTAAAAAGCCCTTGAAACGAGCTGGAATAAAATTGTTAGTTTGTACGATCAGAGTCAAAATTTGGGAGTAAATATATTCTGCTAAAAATTGCATCAAGTTGATTTAAATAAAAAAACTTACCAAAGCTTTTCCATATTTGAAGCACTTTCCAGATCCGTCGTCTTGACAAAATTCTCCCAAAAATCTTTTAACTTTATCTAAACGTAATTATTTAAACTTGAAATACATAAGAAATTGGTAAAAATTGAGTTTTCGGGATTTTTGCTCCTATAACTTCACACGTGCTGAATAGGGAAATTCGAATTATCGAGCCAATGACGAAATAAGTATCCGAGCAACGTTCCATTGCGTGACAACGGCAAACTATTCTACCTATCTGGTCTCGTAATGGAAACGAGATATCACGGCTCAAACGTCCTTCCACGCCGCTCTTCGTCCTATTCAATTCAGGAATGTAAACATTGCCCAGATCTTCAACCATGAAACTTACCCAGGCGACCGTTAAATAAGTGAGAGAAATAAAGAAACAAACTGCGCTCCTCAAAAGACGCCGAGTAGTAAAATTATATTCCTTTTAGTAATGCGATCAAATAAAATGTAGTCTCGTTTGTTTAATATACTGCCGAGTTCCGACACCAATATATCACACTGCGAGGTAATTCACTTCACTAAGTTTCCAAATTTTTTTTAATCAGTTTCTAAAAACCACCCATTTCAATAATTTACGCATAAACTCTTGAATTTATATTCTGTTTGTCGTTTATATGTTTATTGGCAACTGAATTCAAGTAGTTTTTTGCCAACCGAAAAACGAACCTTAACATTCTACATACTACATACTAAACTGAATCGATATTTTTCGAAATCATTATATCCTGGCAATATTTTACCTTTCTTGCACATAGGATACTTTTGACGTCTCTTATCTAATAATCTGTAAACGCCCTACGCCTAACTAGTGAGCACCGAAGCGAACCAGTTGCCACTCACGACGATAAGGCGAGGTTTACGCTAGCGTACCGTGCGAAGAAGAACGCGCAAACAGCTGTAGGCTTCGTAGTAATTAAAATCTTTTATCCTCTTGCGTTCCCTGAGTAATAGTCATAGAATTGGCCTGCCATCACTGCACATACGTCATGAGATACCGCAAGCTACTAATATATTGCCAAATTGAAGCGGAGTCGCCGAACGAAAATATATTGCAAGCTACGAGCGCGGAGGATAGTAGCTAAGTCTAAGGTACTTTGTCGCACAAGCTTGCAAAAAAACTGACAAGACAGACACGGACTGATGGGCACGGCCTTATTTGAGAGAATTTTAGGTACTTTATATTGACCCTTTGAACACTCGCGATATTAAATTGCATTATGTTCAAGTCCTGAAACACTAGATTGACATAAAACGGTTAGCAAAGTTAATCTACCGAAGACGATAGATCGTCTCGCTTTCATCGCCAATCGAAGTAACCAACGACAATTTTGAAAAGAGGATCCCACAGGTGATGTCATTCGACAAAATGCCGCCGTTTGCTAAGAGCGAGTGAGCGCGAACGTTTCTTGTTGTGTTAAGGCAGCCGGGCGTTAAAACTTTTTCGTGAAGTCTTCAAAATCGTAGATGTCCCGAGTGTCAGTTGTAAAGTGGCGATATTGAATAGTCGGTGGCGAAGCCTTATATTGCGCAATAAATCCCCAACACGCGGAACTGCAGTGGTGTATAGTGTTTCCTGAACATTTACTTTATCAATTACGGCCACCATTAGATAGAAAACGTTACCCAATAATAGTCAAAGGCAAAGCGGATATTTCTAATTTTTATTAAAATCTCCTTATAAATGTGGGATACTTATATCAGCAGGCCATAGTTAAATTCAGCAAAGTCTGTGAATTTAACCCCAGAATTAAATAAACGGAAGAAGTTATTGTTATGACAAGGAAGTACTTTTCTGAATATAACATCGTTAGGGGTACCTAATTTATATGTTTCAAGTGTCTCAAAATTAAGGTTTGCATAACAATGTGATGGGAAACAGACATAGATCTGACCCTAATCGAATGAAGTTGTATCTATATTTAACTGCTATAGTCAGGGATTCCATCAATCTGGAACCCAAAATAAGGAAGACTGGAAAAATTTCTGCATTGTGAGCAGAAATAGCTGGCTTTCCTATGGCCTTCAGGTTAATGTCACAATTACAGACATCACGGTGTGCGAAGCACTCACCCTTCAAGCTTTGTTTAACTTTAATTTTTTTCCCTTATTCATCGCGAAAAACGTTTTTACGTTTGCTCATTTTTAAATTTAAGCTAAAATAACCACCACCACGACAAAACCCAAGGATCGCCACACTAACAATGCTTCATGCCTATCTGTGCCTTGCTTCTTTGTGTTCCAAATAAGATTGTTGCTTTTATGATGCCACCATAAAGCTTTGGCGATAAGACAAACAACACAAAGCTTCCCTTATGAAGTCTAAATAAGAGAAAATGAAAACACACAAGCCAAAAATAAGGACAAATCTTAAAAATAAGGACGGTATAAAACCCCTGGCTATAGTTTAATGTTATTAATTCATTTTAAATGTTATAGACTAATAAAGCTATAAAAAACTTGTGCCGATTCCCTCCTTGAACACATTTCGAACAAAAAATATACATAACAATTGAAGCAATTTGATAGGTTGTCTAGTTTCTTGATAATGACGGTAGATGTTAGTTATCTTGACAAAAACTTCACACCTTGGATAAAATTATGGACTAATCATTTTTGTTTGAAAACACAGTTACTTATCTACAATACATGCTGAACAAATTTTTGTACTTGAAGTAGGATATAGTATTTCATTTCAACATATGATAAATATTTACTTACATGTAATTCCGGTATTCTAGATTAAAAGAAAAAAAAATTCACCTTTTTCTGAAGGATAGTCTCGTTTCTTGTCTGATCCAGTTGCCATTTTAGATAAAACCAAACAAAATCAAAATTGGAAATTATAATGCTGTAAATATACAAACAATTAGAGTTAGCATTCATTCGCTTTCATATAAAATAGTAGTTTTCAAATTCATCCCAAGGAGGCAAAGACTTATGTAAAACCCTGGCTATCATTCCATTTCCAGGTACATGGACTTACAACCTAAGTGAATATAGAGAACTTGAATTATGGTAATAAGATAAGATTTACATATTTATCCGGTGGAGAGGAACTATTTTGGGTATTGACCACAAATTGTTGTAATAATAATGTAGGATAAAAGTAAAATGTTTATCATTTAATAGTGCAACAGGATAAAACCAAGTCAGTCATTCCGGGCAATATACAAAGATAAACAAATGATAAAAAATATAGTTCATGAACTCATATACAAAACGCAGATGAAAGCAAAAAAAATAAAATTACATAGTCCTAATAAAATGATCATTACACACTACATATTCATAGACCATCTAATACTTGCTACATAAAGGCATTGCCGGATTCCCAATATCAATGCGCATACAGCCACGATTCCCCAATGACTCAAAACCTCGGTGAAGATTATCCCACAAATTAGACACCAATACTACAATGGACCTCAAGATTCATGCAACTAATTATAAATCTTGCATTTGAGTTAACTAAAATATCCGAAAATGCTTTTGATAAAATATTTCGACTGTTGCATCTAGGTAAGTATAGAGTTATAATATTGGCAGATTGGGTTTACTTGGCCTCGAACTTGGTAAATTAATTAATGCAACATCTCGATAAAGTTTAATATAAGCACTATAATAAATTTATGGCACTCAAGATGTTATGTTACAGGAAAAAAATGAATTAATATCATTCTATTACGTATGCTAACTTAAACTTTATGAATCGGCATTGGGACAGGCCATAATTATATAAAATTGTAAACAAAATATTTTTTGCAATTAACTAATCCTATATAAACCTTCTATGTAGAGTATATCTCTAAACTTAATGATTATAACAATATCTAGGCAATACCATTTCTCTCATCACGACATATTCTCTGAAATGAATGAATGTACAAAATATCTTAATAGAATTTTACATGCATACATCTCAGTATAAACCAATTGATAAACTTAAAATGTCAATAAAAGTAAACAAAAAATTACTGATAAGTTAGGGTGGATTCAAATTTGCATCAGTTTGTAGATTTGTGGAAGACTAAAATGTCTTCTAAAATGAAATGCCAATATTATTCAAAATACTATGGAATTTGAAATGAAATAAACAATTAATATTTACTATCACTGAAGTGCGAGATATTCCAGAAACGCAGCAGGAACCAGATATATGGAAAACCGAAAAGATCTATTTCCTGAATTTGAATGTCACTGGAAGACTTTATGAATTAATTATGTTTTTGAAATTTTAACAGCTTTCACAAAACTGAGCTGGTCAACATACAGACATAAGCAAATCCGAAAGTTAAGATTCAAGCACAACTTCAATCAATTTCTTCCTATGGAATGATTTAGTAGAGAACTTGCCAGCTACTGAGCTAGCAGTTTGTGATGTATATATTCATTGCTCTAAATGTATAGTTGCAACAAACAGCTTTTGATTACTGCGTATACTGACATAGTTAAAAATAGTTTTTACAAGTACCAAAAATTGAGTTACGACTGTACAAGGTTCAATCGGTCTGCAAATTCCCAAATTATATTTTTAATAATTCTAAGCATTAGAACTGTTGAACCATATCTTCACACTCACAGACATTCAGTCACAAATTATCTCCTGAAAGTTTATACACTATACGACAATAAAAATATCTCCAGACCTAGTACTGTCGCATCACAACTGCATAAGAACGGATAACTGGATAAGATTGAAAAAACATAGGAATGGACAAGCAGACAAGAAATACACTTCAAAATTACAGAATTGGGACTACAGGAGTGGAATCACCTTTATTTCAAGCCATCATCAAAGCACATGCTGACATGCTTCCTGCAGTTCTGGCTATCCATTTTTATCTGCACTGATGTTTTTCTACAGTTTTGCAAAGCAAAAATTCAATCAATAATTTATTTCGGTACTCTGACATAAAAATAAAACAGCACAAAATGTAGACAGACAAACAAAATGCATAGGCCACCTGGAAGACGAGCATAACTTAAAATAAAGTTAAAAAACGTGGGGTACGCACCCGCCCACCAAAAAAAATATAGAGATAAGAAAACACATTGCTGGAGGGATCTATGAACAACTTACACGAAATAATAACAAAATTTAGGTAACGTTAGATAAATTTATTCCCCATAAAATTACTGGAATAATTGAATGAAGAAAGGCCCAGGAGGCTACAAACAAGCAACTGACTGACTGAAAAGCCGTTCTACAGTTCTAAGTTACTCCAGTATTCCTTTTTCAACTCTGCTTCTCGCTGTAATCTGTTTTTTTGTAAGATATTCCACAAAGTAGGGTAATATGCAATATGCGAGCGGTATGTTATGTCTGTGTGTCGTGGAATACGGTACTGGAATATCAGAATACAGTAATATGGGTTAAGGGATCATGTCTGCATGTTGATTGTCCATTTGCCGATCTAAGAACACGGGTCTGCTAGTACAGGTACGACTTTACGAGTAAGCCAGAAGTGGACAATCTACACATAAAATAAACTTATAACTTATGGTACTTATAACGTTAAGTCTGTAAGTCCAGAGTTCAGCTGTACCGTATCATGACAATTCCGCAATTGAAAATAGGTGGTTCATCAACTATTATGTAAACTTGAGTACCGAAAGACGATATCGGAATCACGCACATGCCTAAATTTTATCTGTAACGCAGTGGATTGCATTTATTTGCCATCAAAATACCAAGCCTTTGAAAACCCTGCACCCAACGCACAAAGCTTCACCACACGCAACCCCTCCGCAACCAAATTTGGTTTCACCCGCGCGAGATTTTAGTCACGTGACATTTCACTTACAGTGTGTCTGGTCCGGTATGTTAGTCGTTGGTCTGGTCAGGGAATATAAACCAAGCTACATCGTTTGCTACTTGTGTCTGTTGTTGCTCTACAAGTCCAAGATATTCGTAGTGAGTTTTTAGTCGGTAATTAGTGGCAAATGACGAAATACCGCTACACAAACTGTATGGGAATAAATGTTTGATCTTGTGAGTCCTATGCTTACAGCCGAAATTTTCTTTAGTTTTATGGCGTCTTCACGCAACAAATAGCAGCAGTTATCTCTATGCTCGCTATATAACAAACCAATCTGCTGAGCCTAAGCATATTCTCGAATCAATATGAGCAATGCATTTCAAACAGATGCTTTTTATTGTTAGTTTTCAGTTTCATTTTTTGGTATTATTTTAACCTTCTGGCGAAGTTCCTGAGGTCATGCCAAGGTCATCAATGGATGGAACGTACTTTACGTAAGATGTGGGCTGTTCTAAGACTAAAGTTTTTCGGAGCTTTTCTGCATTGATTTTTCCTGGAATTATTTTTCAAATTCTTTTCTGATAAGTGCGAGCGTCCCCACCACCACAGGTATTGTTGAAGTTTTAAGTCGCTACATCTTCTATCTCGATTTCTAAATCTTTGTATTTCAAATACAATTATACATATACATTTTTTGGACACGTAGTGGACATAACGATCGTTTCAATATTATGTTGTTGTTGTTCTTGTTCTTGTTCTTGTTCTTGTTGTTCTTGTTCTTTGACACGTTTTTAAAAAGTCGCTTTTCTCTTCGAATACTGGACCAATTGCTTTGAAATTTTCAGTGGTTGAAGATTAATTTTTTCGCTAGAAGGCTATTACTTTTGTTTATTCTTAAATTTTATATGAATCCTATGAGATATGATATTTCATACAAAATTTCGCGGTATTTATTTTTACTCATGGGAACACTATTTTACACTTATTTCAAGCGGTTTCGCGATCGATTGTCTTGCTCAGTACTACAGCTACTGTAGGTCGGTACTGGTAAGTTGCCATACCGGTGCCGTAACGCAGTGAAATTGACTTATTTCTTCCGCGGTATTACTAATGCTGCAATGCAAGTTTTATAGCCTATCGTATGCGGAACGGAATATCAGACCTACAGGTTCGGTACCGGTACTGGTAGCTCAGTACGTAAGTACGATACTGGTACTGGTGCCGGTACCGGTGTCTTACCACAATGAAATTACCGTAACTTATTCTTTCACGGTCCTACCAGTGCAGTAATGCAAGCGTTGTAGCACTTGTAGCCTACTATATTTGTTTATTTTGATGAGAGTCTACTGGAAACAACATAAAATTTGAAAGGGAAGAATTGTTCTGTGATCAATTATCTGTCCTAAAGTGTAAATAACATAAAATTTGCAAGGGAACAACTGTTCTGTGATCAATTACCGTATATGGCCTACAGTGTACAGGTAAGATGCTGCCTGACTGCTAACTCAGTACCGCTTGACACGTTTTTAAAAAGTCGCTTTTCTCTTCGAATACTGGACCAATTGCTTTGAAATTTTTAGTGGTTAAAGATAAAAATTTTCTCCAGAAGGCTATTACTTCTTTTTTCGCTATGACGTCATCAAAATTATGTGACTCTACGTGTCCATATATTTGAGCATAGCTCTCTTGTTTTGATTCGGATGGTATAGTGATAGGCACATCAATTAGCAGACAGGTCGGGTCTATTTGCTCTAATAGTTTTGTCAGTGTGAACAGTAAAATCCCACAAAATTGTTACATTTCGATTTTCTGTTACCGATGAAGGATTTGTTATGCCTCTCTGTATATTTTGTCGGTGCTAAAACTTTACACCCAATTTTGTGCTGTGAGCGTTGGTCGGGATACTTTGGTCCCCAGCAGCAATTATAAATCTTTTCGTTGTGGGTTTCAGACCTGAACGTTTTAGCCGTTCATGCGTTTGCTGTTCATTTACATTCATTACACATATTATTCTAGTGAGATATTTTTAATGTACTGGTCTATCATGTCAAATTTTCAGTCTTTGCTCTGCTTTTCAATTTATCATATACTTGAGAATGACATCTTTTGTCTTTCTCAGTCCACCTTTGCTTCGTGATAAGTACAAACGTTTAGTG